TTTAGCAGGACTGATAACTTTTACTAGCAGTCAGCCTGTATATTTGCTATCATATTTTCTTGACTAACCCTTTATTATTTGCTATTATGTTTTCTTGACTAACCCTTTTTCAATTTGAAAAAAAGTCAATATTGTCTTTGTTTAGACATTTGTCTGTGTTATGTATTAAATACCTGATCTAAATATGACATCCATAGAGGCGCCGAGACATAGAAAAAATTATGCTCCATCCAATCTCTGCTGTGGCTTTCACTGCTTCTTGCTATGGCTTCGTGTATGCTGAGGTCGAGGATTTCTTCCAGTCGACTGTGTATATTGCAGTACTAAGGGAGTATCGACGGAAAGGAGAGATACTCATCATACTCTAATCCCCAGCAGCTAGCTACTTTTCAAATTCCAGTACAAATTTAAATGTTTTTCCCCCAAATTAACTGAATTTAAGTAGTTTTGATGTTATTGTTAAACAAGTTAGCCTTTTTCAAAACACTTAAATTCTTAGCATGTTTAGGAAATAAAATTTTGTTTTTGTCAGATAAAATTAAGCAAATTGCAGGCAGTTACTTTTTTAATCCTAGGATTATATTTTTCTAATAAAAATTTTAGACTTACATGCCCCTTGGATGTATGAAAACCGGCAAAACTTCCAAAATGAAGATGAAATCACACACATTCCTCCCCTTCTAAACTGAAGAGTTAGATACACTCTTTCCAACTCCTTTTACTAAAGAGTGCCAAGGGAGATAACTAGAATTTCATGTTTTTACATAATTTAAAATCACAATATCTATTCGTAATTAAAATAACCCATGGGTTTTTTAATTGTTTTTTCCTCTTTTATACTTGATTTTCAATATTTTATAATTCACATTCAAGGAGAGTGCGGGCCTTCTTAAAAAATCACCTGCACGTACAGACACCTTTCAATGGATATTGTTGACTGTTTCAGTATGTATTCAATTCATATTTTAATCAACTATGCATGAAATCCATTTATAACTGTGATCAAGTATTTAGTTTGATGTATCTTAATATAAATATGATAGTTTTTGAAAAATCTATCACTATCATGAATCACTTATTTTCATTTCTGCCTGGTTCTTATAAATAGCTGTACTTAACGTCCCACTCGAGAATTTTTCACTCATATGAGGACGCCACCACTTACCGGTGGAGAGCTGCAAATTTTGTCCTATACTCGGCACTTATGGCCATTTAGCAGGGGGGGATCTTTTTCGTGCCAGCACCTACTGCGACGTACGGGACCTCGGTTTATTCGGTCTCATCCGAACGACCGGTCTCCACATCTTACAGTGGAATTCGAACCCACGACATAAGGATCAACTCCTTACTTCGAGACTCTAGAGCAGACGCTCATACATTTATACAACATGAAATCAATCCTCAACACTAAAAACGATTGAAATTTTATTACATGTATTTTACTTTTATTTATTATTAGCATCATAATGACATATATTTGATTATTTTGTTTTAAAGTCTAATATAATTGCTATGTATATGCTGGCTAACAAATTGTAATTTGCGTTTTAAAAATAAATTTATACAAATCAGTCCTATACGACAATGTAAACAATTTACAAATATCATTTATATATATATATATTTTTATGTTTTAAAAAGCTCTGTGTGTAGTTATATAAGCTAAATGGAAGTGTTTTACATTTTGCAATTTGATTAAGAAACTAGTAACTAGTACTAATAAAGAACATTGCCAGACCCCCCCCCCCCCCCCTTCCCAATTACTCACTGGGATATCTTTCTTTACTGTTTATCGAATAAAGTGATCAAATGCATGTGTTATGCTTGAAATTTTACTGAACATGAACATCCTAAATATACAGGAAATAATATTTTATCATTCGCGGTGTTGTCGCTGCATGCTAGTTCTCATGCACGACGAATTCTTATAAAATTCATTCTGACTTTCAGTGTAAATAAGGTACTCGTTATCCTAATATGTATCCGCAATAATTTAAATGATGAATAAAATAACATTTTACATCTATGTCACCTTTATATCTTGCATATTCCAAATGTTAAAATATTTATACTTTACGTACTGTTAACGTGATTAAGGTCAACATATGACGTTGTGGAGATAAATAACGCCATAAACGCAACATTTTGGCATTATAACAGCAAACTTTGCAATTATTTAGCAAAAAATCTAGCGAGAAGACATATTGATTTTTTTATATCAATAATTTTGATTTCACCTCATCTTGACATTTTGAAATTCCTGACTAATTCGTCTAAGTTTTTTAAAAGTTATCCAACTTTTTAAAAAGAAACTCTTTCCGCAAAATTGGCTTAAAAACGTCATTTTTCCATATATTTCAATAGTAAAGCGTAAAAAAAGTACTAAAAACTATGCCGCATTTACAATAATATAGCATTAAAACTACGTAGGCAAATTTGATAAAAATTGCAGATAATACGCTGTAAAGTCTAAGGAACATTATATCAAATTTTCAAGATATGTTTTCTCGTAAGAATTTTTATGCAGTAAACCCGCGACCTACCTTAAGTAACGAAGGTTTCAACACTTATAATAAGAAACAGAGGAAATCCAGGTAAACAACGAAATTATTTGTATATTTTTTGTCATTTATGATATATATACAGGTAACTCTTGATGGTTCGAACTTCGATCTCTCGAAGTTCTTGATCTCTCAAAGTGAGTCTCCGGTCCCGATTTTTTTCCCTATATAACTATGCAAATTTACTCTTGATTTCTCGAACTCTTGATCTCTCGAAACCCTTGATCCCTCGAAGTCAATATGCAGTCCCGCTATGCATATTCTATTGGAATTTACCCTTGAAACCTCGAAGTGGCTATGTGTATACAATGTTACATAATTAGCGACTTTACCTGGACATTTAAAAGACGCGGGTCTCGAGAAACGGGATGTTTATTCAGGTGACACTTACACTGCTAGGTGATAATTGATTTATAATTAATCATATGTTGCCTATATGGTATTAAAATAGTTATCATCAACTGTCTTAGGAAGAAGCTGTGTCAATGAAAAATATTAAATTGAATACAAGACGAAAAACTAAATTGTTTAATTTTTATTTCGAGTCAGTGTCAAAGTTTAACAAAATATGAAAATGCAGAAACAGCCTCAAAGTCAATACTACGACTATTGTTGCACAAATACTTACAGAACTTCGTTCAACGTTTAATGATCATGTTTGAAGTAGTCATTGCTATGTACAAAGTGGTAAAATGTCGTTTTTATTTAACGAATGCATAGTTTGACGTCTGTATCAAAAAGAATAAATAAATAAACATGAAGTGACGAAGTACATTTTTTATTTACTCAATTTTATAAATATTTATCTACAATAATGATCATGTTTGAAGTAGTCATTGCTATGTACAAAGCCGTAAAATGTCATTTTTATTTAAGGAAGGCATAGTTTGACGTCCGTATAAAAAAGAATAAATAAATAAACATGAAGAGACGAAGTACATTTTTTATTTACTCAGTTCTATAAATATTTATCTACAATACGAAAACATACCATTGTTTTATAAACACCACGTGTAAAAGGTTAGTACTGCATGAAAATTATTACATCCGGTAATACTAATTTCAAAACCGGTCAACAAACCTGAAAATTCCGGACTCTTGAAATCTCGAACTCTTGATCTCTCGAAGTTTTCTCTCGGTCCCGCCGACTTCGAGGTATTGAGAGTTACCTGTATTAACAGTCACATATGAATTCGTTTGATTTAATTCATTATTACTGCATTCTAGAACATAAAACTTACCAGCACTGTCTCCAGCGAAAGAAAACTTTTTAAAAAAATGTTCAGCTCATTCACATGCTCAAATATTTCGCGCCAGTAAACTTATTCTGACATCTGGAGGAGGCTCGAGGCGCTCGAACCCGAGAATTATTGTATTTTAAGAGGTCTGGTAACGAATGTTTCGGTAACGGTTGTTACATTGGTCGATTTTCTCCCTGTTAGGTAGCCAACAATAATACATGTTTAAATTATTATCAGTGTAAGGATTACGTTTCTTGGACAGTAAAATTGTACCACATGTTTAATCAGTATATTGCTCCTACGTACTCTATTCAATGAATATAACGTATGTTTCGTGACTATCCATACGCAAGTAATTTTGGCTGATGGAATGTAATTTCGAAGTACTGTAAACTGATACAATTTTTTATGCAATTTATTTATAATTTACTAATAGATTGCATCAAAATAAAAGTACATGTATTCGAACAGCAAGGGCATCATATTTTGGATATATAACCATACTTGAATAGGACAGTCAGTTTTTATTTTATATTTGGCAACATAGGGATATTCAATCAGAGTTTGGAAAAAATCAATGATTATACTCTATAATTTAATTCAATCATTTCATAAATTACACTTTTGAAGATAGATGACAAGTTATTCAAGATTTAACTGATATTTTGTCAAAGATTATCACTTTAGTGTAACTTATCAGGGTTGGCGACAGTAACGTACATTTCAAAAAGTCACTAAATTCCAAATCTAATATCTCAGTATGAATTGTTAACTTCATTTTTGTATAATTGTTCAATAGTTTACATATTCATCGAGTCATTTAAAGAATACTTTCTTAGACATCTCATTGATTTTTACGCTTTACACCCCAGCGACATTGTTTGCACCATTTTATTGACTTTGAGTGTTGAAATGTCTCCTTATTTCATTACAGTGTATTTTAAAATTGTTTGATTATTTGTTCCATTTGATTCGTCAGAAAGTTGAAGATTATAAAGAACATACCGGTATTGTTGTAAAGGTTAAAAAGGATAATTTCAAACATGGCTAAAAAAACTCATGTGTATGTAGACAGGATATTTACTTATCATTGTATTAGAATGCAAGGGGATGTTCCACTTTGTAGTGCCCTTGCTACTAGAAATATTACTTGTCATGGGTCTCAAGTCCTTTTACATTATAAGTTAACTTGTTGTAGGTGTTCCTCTTTTTGGGATTTTGGATGGCGACGTACGGAGTAGCTTTCTTTGTTTCCATGGCGTTTGAAGCACCAATGATAGGACTAGAAAGACTTCTTCTGAGAAAAAACTAAGATAAATTGTTATAATGATCTGTTATCTTTTTTTATACTTTTTTTTATAATATTTAAAATTTCTATTTTTTAAAATTATTTTTACCGATTTACAGGTGACTTTGTACATGTATATCACAAATATATCAATCCAGTTTTTTTTATGATCTGAAGTTATTACATGTACAAAAGCTTTAAATACACAACAAACTTGTACACGTCATGTTCATTTTCTTTGTTTATTTTTTGGTGTTTTATTTCAATCCCTGAGAAAGTTTTTAACTGACGTAGCAACAAAACATTACCATTGTTAAGAATTCTGCTTTGTGAAGTGATAGATTTTTTTTTTAATATTATATATAAACTTTTCTATTTACAGTAATAATCATGTTTTACATTAAAAAGAAAAAAAATGATATGCAAATTTTTAAATATGCATGTAATAAGCTTTAGCTGGTTTACAAGTTGAAATATTGCTATATACATGTACATGTATGAATATTTAGTTTTGAAATTTTGAAGACATGTCATGTAGGAAAAGTTATAATTATACTAGTTCATGTCATGATGTGTATTTGATTTTCAACAGTTTGAGTTATAATCAGAATAGAGCTTATATATGCATGGATCAAGTGTCCGTCATTCTATACAAACAATCAGGCTGTATTTTTTATGAAATGCTTTTCTTTTTTACATTTATTTCTTGATTTGTATAAAACATTAAACATTCTAGAGACTTAGACTACCCGATGATGTATAGTCTTTGGATAATTGAAAGATCTGACAGTCATATTTTTAAAAAGAAAAAAAAACTGAGATTAATTCAAAATGCTACCTTTCTTTGTTTTAGCAGGATTTGAACACTACTTGTTTTGGTTATAGAATACATGAAGTACAAAGTTAAAACAAACTTTCACTAAAATCTAACTCAACCAGATTTACAAGAAAAATAGTTCTAAAGATGTTTGCAATTACTCTCTTCAGATATAAGATTAAAACATTGGAGGTACAGTTTTTTTTTGTAGAGATTTATTTTTATGATTCTATTCAGGGAAATGTTTTTATTTTTTTTGTAAGATAAATTGAAAATAAATATGTCACATATAAAAGATGTTTCTTTGATCTGCATATCTACCTTTTTCTATCTTTATATAATGTTGTTATTGTTATTTACATATAAAATCTGTCAGCATTCTAATTATTTTTGTTCTTTATTTTCATTTTCTACGTTTCTTTTGCCAAGTATTGAACTTAAATCTATATAGAGCTATAAAGTTATATTACATGTACTAGTATATGGACTGATGGGGCTATCAGTAATACTTGTGTTGTACCAGTCTACTAGTACAGTAAAACACGTGCATGGCGAGCACAATTAATATAAGGAATTGACACTTACAGCGAAATGATTTTCATTTCCCCATGACTTTGAGATATATTGTAATCTTAAAGGTGCTTAGTCTAGACACAGATCTGAGGTTAATATTTTCTCAAATTGTCTGTATAATCATAACTTTTATGTTGCTGTAGCATTTCAAACGAAATATGATAAAAAAAAATCTTTTGTGGAAGTTATTGAAACTTTGAATTTCTAGACGCATTTGATTGGCACTTCTGTGCATCTTCACATATTTTAACTTAATTAATCTTTCATACTTAAGGAGGTTTGATCCTGAGCTTTCGAGCAGATTTTGGTCTAGACGTTTTTTTTTTTTTTTTTTAAATTCTGCATCATTTTTTAGTTTTAACATTAAATCTGGATTTTGCAATGCAGATTGAACAATATTTAATGAAAAACCGCGATTAAATTCCATTCAAGTAGGATTAATCCAGGAACTATATTTTTTGGCGGAAGTTTTTTTTTGTAGAGGAAAATGATCAATTTTTTTTAGCCACCGGTATATACAATACTGTATTCGTATTTTGCCATGCTGGTTGCATGCAAAGCTGTTTTTTGCTGTGAAATGTGTTATGTTGGTTCTGAAATATCTATTATATTATTTCTTATGAATTCTTTCAACAAATTGTGACAAATATAGTAAATACACTGAAAGTCTATGGAAGAATCGAGCCAATTTTAAATTGAAGCTTTTTAGTAATATCTAAAAATTCACATCATATACCCCCATGATTGATGTTAACTTTGACCTATCTGCTTAAATTCAGCAAAAGTTTAAGACTTTAAAATAATTTTCTTGCTTATTAATTTTTCAATGCATGAAAAATCACATTTTGTGAGTGCAGAAAGGTCAAATAATTGATTATGCGACGAAATTTAAAACGTTTTCTTAGTCACAGTTTTAAAGTGTCTTTTTAAAATAACATATAGTTTTTTAGTCATGCTTTATTTGGATAAAAATATTAGAGGGTAAACTTCCAAGATGTAATTTTTATTAAGGCACACATTTTAGTGCAAAAAGGTCATATTAAATGTACTGTAGCGCCAAAAGAAGCATATAGATCCACAAGTTTTGATTTGATTTTTCTATGAACTAGTATATATAGAAACTAAAAATATACTTGATAAAAAAGTCTTTAAATATCAGGAGCCAACATCGTTAAAAAAAATTGGCAATATTTTTGCAGGGATTTTCCACTGCCCCGTGTAGGGCCGAATATGGGCCCCATTCCCAATTGCAAAACCCCTCCCTTTTTCCCAAAAATGAACTGCAAATGTTCAATTCTTGAATGCAGCAGATCTTAAGAAGTTAACTTGATCATAATTCACAAAATATAAACATGGTCAGGTTTGAAAATTGTGTAAATCTTTATTATAATGATCAATTCTTTGATTCAGAGCTCTATCATAAGTATGTAAAACATTAATTTTATTCATCTTAATGTTTATTTTTTGAAAAACATCAAACAATAAAATTTCCCAATTAGTGATAAACTGTCGATAAATTCCCAATTCCAAGGGCCTGGGCCCCATTCCCAAAAGTGAGTGGAAAATCCCTGTTTTGTGTATTAATGTGAAAATATTAAAACTATAATCCAGAAAAGTCAGATTGGAAATATGCAAAAACAAAACCAACACATCAGTTTTATCAGTGCGTGCTCAGTGGTGTGTGCAGAGCTCAATAATTGAACACACCAACATTAACAATAACAGAGCGTATGCCATTGTACGTTTCAGGGGTCTATTTAATTTGTTAAACCATGTACACAACGTTGTACACTGGCTGACATTACTAGGAATGGGTTTGCTCTCACACTATACCCATTCCTGTATAATAATTATACCCCCCGCAAACGAAGTTTGGGGGGGGGGTATATAGGAATCACCTTGTCCGTCTGTCTGTCTGTCTGTCTGTCCGTCTGTCCGTCGAGCTGTCTATGGAAACGTGTCCGGTCCATATCTTTCTTACGGAGGAACATTAGAATCTACTACTCCACAAAAAGATTGCCCTTGACCTAAGGGTGTGTCATGACCTTGACCCAAGGTCATTTGGGGAAGTTCAAGGTCACTGGAAGAAAAAGTTCATAATTCGTGTCCGGTCCATATCTTTCTTATGGCTAAACTTGGTAGGTTCTCATTTCACACAAAGATTGCCCATGACCCAAGGGTGTGTCATGACCTTGACCCAAGGTCATTCGGGGAAGTTCAAGGTCACTGGAATGAAAATTTCATAATTCGTGTCCGGTCTACATCTTTTTTATGGATAAACTTGGTAGGTTCTCATTTCATTCAAAGATTGTCCATGACCCAAGGGTGTGTCATGACCTTGACCTAAGGTCACTTTAGGAAGTTCAAGGTCACTGGAAGAAAAAGTTCATAATTCGTCTGGTCCATATCTATCTTATGGATAAACTTTGTAGATTTTCATCTCACGCAAAGATTGTCCATGACCTAAGGGTGTGTCATGACCATGACCCAAGGTCATTTGGGGAAGTTCAAGGTCACTGGAAGAAAATTTTCTTAATTTGTGTCCGGTCCATATCTTTCTTATAGATAAATTTGGTAGGTTCTCAATTCACGCAAAGATTGACCTTGACCCAAGGTCATTTGGGGAAGTTCAAGGTCACTGGAAAAAAGTTCATAATTTGTGTCCGGTCTACATCTTTTTTATGGATAAACTTGGTAGGTTCTTGTTCTACACAAGGATTGCCCATGACCCAAGGGTTTGTCTTGACCTTGTCCCAATGTCATTTGGGGAAGTTCAAGGTCACTGGAAGAAAAAGTTCATAATTCATGTCCGGTCCATATCCTTCTTATTGATAAACTTGGTAGGTTCTCATTTCACCCAAAGATTGCCCATGACCCAAGGGTATGTCATGATATTGACCCAAGGTCATTTGGGGAATTTCAAGGTCACTGGAAGAAAAATTTCATAATTCATGTGTGATACATATCTTTATTATGGAAAAACTTACTTCTGAAAAAACCCAGCGGGGGGTGTTTTGTCCCGTTTGGACAGTTCTAGTTTAATTTTTTTTCCCATTAATACACAACAAAATTGCTAATTTTCTTAAGTATTAAGGATAATGTTAACTTCAGGGTCAAGGTGACGAGATAGAAATGTAGTGTAAATAAAAAAGGTCTTGTCACGAGCAACACACATGCAAGATTTAATATGAAACCCTATTTCTTCCTATTCAAAAGTCATGACCAAGGTTAATATTTTTGAAAAGTGTGCCGAACTTCAAGTTCAAGGTCACAAGGTAAAAAAATTATAGTGCATTTAGAAAAAGCTTGTCACATGTAATATACATATGTTTAATATGAAAGCTCTTTCAAAAGTTATGGCCAGTTTAAAGAAGTGTTTTAATTTTTCTAAAAGAAAGTGAAATTTCAAGGTCAAGATCATGGGGGTAAAAAACCATTGTGTACTTAGAAATCTCTTGTCATAGGCAATACATAGGGTTAATATGAAAGCTCCATCTCCTCTCATTGAAAAGACCGTACCTAGTTTATTTAAGTTATTGAAAAGTATGTCAAACTTTAAGATCAAGGTCACAAGGTTAACAAGCATAGTGTATTTAAAAAATTCTTGTCACAGTTAATACAAATGTTTAATTTGATAGCCTTATATCTTCTCATTCAAAGTTTATGGCCCGTTCAAAGTAATGTTTAAATTTCGAAAGTAGGTCAAACTTCAAGGTGAAGGTCAGGTGGTAAAAAATCAAGAAAGGTTTCGTCGCAGGCAATAAACATGTAATATGACAGCCTTATCTCTTCTTATTCAAAAGATATGAACAATGTTAAATTGTTCTTGATGGACAGACAGAAATACAGACCAAATACAGAACCAACAGACGAATGAGATTTAAATCTCCCCCTCGCTTTCGAAAAAAAGAAAACACAAATGGTTCAATTGTCTTCCTCGGTGATTTATTATGCCATCGTACTGTTGTGAGGGTCAACGACACTACTCGCCCTCAAATTTTGAGCATTCTGAGTAGGGTGCGCAGCTGGGTAAGAGATATTAAAAAAGTAGAGAAAAGTTAATTTCAATGCGGTAAAAAGGGACTTTTAAGTTAGTGAAGATAAAAGTTTAGAAATACAGTATTTACAGTTAAAAACACCATTATTAAGGTCTAGGGTGATTCAGTTTACTCACTTCGAGTTTCAAATGTTTAACATGTGGAATCAGAAAACACTGCCCGGCTATCTGTTCCACTGAACTAATGTAAGAGGGTAAAAAAAGAGTACTGTAAACTAACCTTGCGAAAATTACTCAGACGCGAAAAAAAGCTATTTTACAGTATTTATAAACATTTTTTAGTTTGTATCTGTCGAAAGGTGAGGGAATGAAATGGACGAGTAGTCCGAACGGAACTGAGGGGATTACTACCAGACCATGTATGATCTTGTACATAAGTACAAGCCTTGCATCCGCCCTACTTTGTTGTAATCTTCGCCAACCTAAGGTGTCACTGTGTAACATATATGAGACACTTCTTCTTCTAAAATGTACATCCGGATCCGTATTTATACAAGTCTTACGTGTTAATATTGTAAACATCGTCAATTTTTTTGAAAGAAATTGCACAGACTGATGGATAGAAATTTAAGGTAGAAGGTAAATTGTGGTATTGTACTGCACATTGTCTACTTCTATTCAATTTTTTCTTTAATGAAGATCGCAGGTTTACCGTCTGCCTGAGAACATACTCTGAAAATTTGTCAGCTAAGTCCTTTCGTTTCGAATTTTTCTTTCTGCATTTTTTTTTATCAGATTCTGCATGCGTGGTTATATTGTAATTATATGTCAAATGCACTAATGTCGATGAGAAAAGGTGACGCTATTTCAATGAAATATATAGTAAAATACGCCGTTCACACCAGCATTCGCATTTCAAAACAATGCTTGTAAAATGAAAATGAAGCAGACGAATTTTATATTACCGGGTACTCAACACAATGAAAGTGAAGTAAATTTAGAATCGATATATTAAGAAAAAATATGTGTTCTCTCTCAATTTCTTGCAATTATTTTTTTTTTAAACTTTGCAATCTTCATACAAATTTAAACATTTTCAATAATGACGTTATATATCGCTAGACTAGGCGATCACTTGGTAACGGCCAATTCGTCATGAACAATTTTGTAAAATAGGAAGAGTCTGGAGATTCGCCAACACTCTTCAATTGTCTGCCATTGTAGATGTTGAATCATGCTGTCCACACTCGATCTGTTACCTTGCCTGTTGCTTACGTATCGTACAGCACGTCGTTGGACCATTTCCAGATTATGGATGTCTTCTTGTGTGTAGGGGTCCCAAACAGGCGCTGCATACTTCATCTGAGGTCTGACTAGTAGTGATTTGTATATGCACTCTGCTTTATGGAAGTTGAGCTGATGTTTAAGTTTCGGCAGAGGAATCCCAAGGTCTTGTTACCATTGCAGCGGATGTTACTGATGTCACTCCATTTCAATTTGATGTTATGAGACAGCCAACTTGAGGTATTCCGCTCTCTTTACATGTTCGAGAATATGGTCATGTAGTGTACATTGGTGATGTATTGGGTTTGACGTCCTGCTGACCGATAATACATTACACTTATCAGGATGGAATTCCATTTTCCACATTCTTTCACCTAAACCCAGATGCCCAGTTTATCTAGGTCTGCCTGGAGTGTCTGAGTATCCAGTTCCGATGTAACAGTAAGACACACAAGAGTGTTTTTAGCAAAAAGTCTTACTGTAGCATAGAGACCTTTTGGCATGTCATTATGTAGTCTAAGAATAGGACTAAGCATGGTCCAAGGACTGACCCTTGTGCACTCCAGAGTCAACACTTATATAACTGGACTTTTCTCCATCAACAACTACAGCTTGTGTTCTGCTGGACAGGAAGCTAGCAATTCAGTTGTTCACATTCCCCTGAATCCAATAATGTTAGAGCTTATGGATGAGGAGGCCATGGCTAACTTCGTCAAAAGCCTCAGTAAAATCAATGATCAATACATCTGTCTGCTTTCCGGCAGCCATGTAGGTGGTTATGTCATCTATAAACTCAATGAGTTGGGATTCACAGGATCTTTTGCTACAAAATCCATGCTGAAGTGGGTATATAATGTTGTTAATATCACCATGTTGCATGATATGGCTGGGGACAAAATGTTCCATAAGGTTGCAGGAGATACATGTGTCGATAGTTCTCAGATTTTAATATATCTATCACCTATTCTGAAGATCGGGCTGACATGCTCTTTACACCACTCCGATGATATCTCTCCACTTTGTAAACAGAGTAGGGGTCACACTGTCAGCCACCAACTCCTTCAGTACTCGTGGTTTAATCCCATCTGAGCCCGCTGCTTTATATGGATTCAGATTTTTCATAAGCCTTAGGATTCCATTATGGGTAATGTGCAGTTCTGGTGCAACTGGGTATTTTCCACTCATAGGACAGTCACGAGAAAATTCTTCAGTACTGAAATGCGTTTTCTCTGAGAATATTGACTGGAACTGTTTGATCAGCACATCTGCCTGGTCAGTCGGATTGGCATGTAGCACTCCTTCACTGCGGATTAGTGAGATTCCATTGTTTTCGGTTCTTTGGTGTCTTATATAAGTCCAGAAACGCTTTAGGCTGCTTTATTGGTCATCCTCTACTTAAGGTGTTACTTTCCCCTCGATGTAGTCCCCTTATGCTCTTCTTAACTCTATTTGTACTTTCCAATTAATTTCTTTGAAGTGTTCTTTATCTCTGTTGTCTCCAGATTTCTTCTTCCTTTTTGTATAGTCCGCTTTTCATCTTTGTGTGGTATATTTTGCTTTATGCTGTTTTCCATGTTAGTTTTTAAGCACTCCCACATCTCATCTACACTATGATTATCAACGTCCACCTTTGATATTGTGTTTAGGGTTGATGTTATATTTTCTTTCATTGTATCCCAGCTGGCTTTGCAATATAAGGGGATTTTTCTTGGCTTTTGATGTTTCTTTAGGATGTTGGTGTTTATTTCTGAAAAGACAATTGTCATGGTCTGAGCTGCCTGGAATAGTTTCTACTCTGTTAAATTCTGATGGGTTGTTGGTCAGTATCAAGTCCAGGCTGTTTTCACCTCTTGTTGGGCATTCATTAGCTGAACTAAGCCATCGTCATCCAGGATGTCTACAAATTTGTGTTGGTTATCTGACCAGGGGGTAATTGGCTTTAGTGTCTTATTTGCCTAGCTCCATCCTGGTAGGTTAAAACCACCTGCAACAATTACACTTGCATTTCTTACCTGGTAAACACGATTTAAGCATTTATGTAGTGCATCTAAAGATTCCCCATTAGCTGTTTTAGGGTTATAATATGTTGGAATGTATAGAACATCCCGTCCAACTAGACTGATCTTCGTCCAGATCTAGTATGCGCTTTCACAGTTAAGTAATGATTTTGATTAAATTCTCGAGGCATGATATCACAAATAAGATGGATAGAAGGAACATTAATTTTTGGTACAGATACACACATACAGTTATGATGATATGTGTTATCACATTTTCAATATTTTCAATAATTTTCAATAAATCAATACCCAACAAGATTGTCATTTTTCCTAATTATTAAGAATAAAATTAAAATTTGCGAGAGTGCAAGGATGTGTCAGTCAACCCCATCAAAAAATTGAAGTTTTAATAATTTAAGATGAAAAAAGATTTTTAATATATTTTGGTGTGAAATGCTATTAAAATATATAAGTCGTGATATTATACAGAAAATATTAACTTCAAATATGTGTCAATGCACCTTTAATCATGAAGACAAGATATTAAGGTTTTTCCATCCTCAAAGTTTTAAAGGTTCAAAGTACAAAACCTGCATTTATTTTTATCTAATATACTATAAATTAACCAATTATTACAAAAAATTATTAGGTTACATATTAAAATAAATAAACAGGAATATATGTCAACAGTATAAAAATCTTACATTTTTTGTAAACAGTGCAATAATTAGTATGTAAAAACTGGTTCAAACGCATAATTCTGATGCTGAAAGTTACAAAATACTTGCTACTTATATGATACTTTTGAATTGTGAATACTAGAGAAACTATTTAACATTAGAAGTACAATAGAGAAAATGCCTGAATAAAGATACCCAGGAAGGAGTTATTGCCCATGTCACATTTTTAAAAAATTGATTAATTTACTAAATCAAGAGAGTATACATTTAAAAAATTCTTTTATTTAACAATATTTATCATTACACCTATTGAAAAGCATTCTTCCAAAAATGTTGTTTTATTTGGAATGAATTAAAATTAATAACAGTGTTTGCAAAAATCTATGACATAAGAGGGTGGAAAGACCTTAAAGATTTGAATTATTAATGCCTGGGGAGACAGGTTCTTTCAGTGAGAGACAGTGAGTGTGCCAAGGATAGGGGAAATATAAATCTTGCTTTGTGATCCTTTTAATTGTTCTTCTTCATGGTCTTTATTTTTAAAACTGTATATAGAATGAAACCCAACATATCTTTTAACAGATGTGCTAAATCCACCTGAATGGCTCTCCAGAAAACTGTATTGCTGAGCTCTGTTCTCCTCTCGGTGTGTTGGGGTGCCCTACAGGACCAGAGGAACGTTCCTCAGTACCATGAGCTGATAAGACAAGGTCATGTCAAGCTAACTCAGGGGGAGTCTGAACCCGATTTTATCCACAGATTCAATGGTACCACTATATTACAGGTAAGAAAAATTAATGAACCAGAACCATTTGTTTCATTGGAATAAATATGATATCTTATGCTTTTTTACTCTCCATACAGATGCTTTCTCTTTAACGAAATTTCAAAAACTGAGAGATTTTAAATTTTGTAGAAAATGCTTTCACTGGATTCGATGTATGACCAGGCTTTGCTCCTAAAGAAGGAATTTGTGACTGATCTTGGGTCTCGGATCAAAATGTCGGCGGGTTGTGTTGTTGGACTTCAGCTATTACTTGATGGTTTGAAGGAAAGAAGTCTTTGGTCTCTTAAAAGTAACAAAATGCAATCTTTTTCGATGTTTATGATAAGTATAGAAAAGTATCTCAGTCTTTAAAGAAATTTCATTTACTTTAAGAATATTTCAATAGAAAACAGCAAGCATTAACAAATAAATGGGTACTGCAAATTTTGCAGGAACATTTCTTAGACAAGAAGGAGAGTGATTACCCTTCATCGCAGAATTTGGATTAAAAATTTCATACTACCTGACTAATGTGCTCAAGTAACAGATTTTGTATTTCAGTGCTTGATGCCATAGGAAAAGTTCCCAGTGGTATATTAGATGGTGATTTCATGTGGCCCGGTCAGTTTGATGAGTGTAACTCAATAAGTCAGTCATTCACAGATAGAATCCCTTATAATGAGACTTTCCTGGTTCGAGGGAAATATTTTGTTGCAGGATTGGGGAATCCTTTGGTAAGATTTTACATGTTTTTTTGAAATTGCAAAAAATAAGACAGATGATTCCATGTCCCCATAGGGTGATACCGTTAACTGTATAGTTTAAATCAGTTTAAATTTTTTCATGTTACTCTTCATAGTATAAGATTAATTGAAACATGTTAAATATATTAGGAAAAGGGTTAGGATTTGTGTGATAGCTTCCAAATATCATTTATTTATGAATATTTATGCATTAAAGCTTAAATCAATGCTTAAACATGTCACATCTTAGATTTTATTGGTTATGCATTCCATTGCGGGAGTGACACCTAGCTGATTGTAGGCATGAATGCTATGGTCAGAGATTTGTATATTGCAAAATTAATATCATTGCTAATTCTGTTTTACAGGGGTATAACGCTACTGATCTTAGGATGGGAGTCTGCCTGCCTGATGCATGTACTGCGACTGATGTTAAAGAAGTGATGGAATTAGGTCTGAACTTAACATTTTATTAAGATTTGGTTAAACTAAATGTCTACCTGTTTTGACTTCATGGAGAAGTTTGTGACAGTTCTTATAGTGTATTATTACATGTGTCCATCTTTCTGATATCTGTTCAAGTCCAGGCCTGGGGGCCATAAAACGTAGACGAACTCACTTTTCATCTCAGTCTCACTTTTCACTATATATTCCTTTGGTTAAAGTGAGACTGAGATCAAAAGTGATCTTGTCTAAGTTTTATGACCTCCAGCCCTGGTCTAGGAAATCAGACAGATGCATCACTTTGGAAGGATGATTAAGCCAAATTTTGTGTCCTGTATAATGAAATGGAGAGGGTTTTTTCAGTCTCTTTTTCAACTATTTATCGTACTTATTCTTGATTGTGCCAACAACTCCATACCAAATGACTAAGCTAAATTTTAAATGCATCAATTTATTATGTACATGTACAGTATTTATGTAAAAAATGGTTTTAACAAGAGAAACAACCATTAAATTGCTCTAGATTTTATTTAACTGTTTCCCAACTTTCTAAAAGGGTTCTTTGTATCAAGATTTTGTCATGAACAGATATACATAGCCATCTTTTTTCCAAGATGTACTTATAATTTCAAGATAAAGTTCAGACTGACACTCTTCAAAAATTTTTAAGTCTTGTCGAACCTTGTAATTTTTTGTTTCAGAAGTAGAGAAGAAAATTGAATTGATCATTTATATTTTCTTTTACAGCATTTTTAGAGCTGTACCAATATACAAATAAAACAATCAAGCTTTCTCTGAAATATGTTTATCATCAAGAGACAAAGTACAAGAGCACTCCAGAGTTTATTGCTGCCAGGTAATCTTTTATAAAATAATTAATGTTACAGTATTACTGTTACAGTATATATTGGTAAATTCAAAATTTAGAAAAATTGGTAGATTGGGTAAGGAGGAATTATACTTCCTAGAATTAAAATGTTTAAGATTAGAACTATAGAATGTCTTTTCTTCTTTACGAATATGAAGTCCTCTGTACATGTATAACATCATTTCTTAAAAACTCAAATGCAATTGGCATTTTCTTTTTTGTGTTTGAAGAAAGTGATTTTAGATAGCTTTTGGCAAAAATATCCATAAATACAGTTAAATACCCTGATATTCAGCTTTTTTAAGCATTGAATTATCATTTTTTGAAAAATGCAGTCTCATTGGTGTGTGCAAACAAATTGAGTAATGCGCGTTAGCGCTGTGTATTATGTGTATTAATCACTTGGAATTTTATAATGCTTTTTATTAGGGTCAAACAAAGTAAATGTAAATATTTGCTTATAAACATGACAAACATGTACAATGTTTAATATATTTTTCAGTGTGATCTGTTCCATAATTGGTTTTCTGTTATTGCTGGGCACTCTTTACGACATGTTTATAAATCAAGATGTCGACTCCTCGGAAATCGGAGATGTGAGGGTTCATAAACAGGACAGTGACGCACAGTCCGTTAATTCTGACACCACGCATCTGATGTCGGATGGAACTCGAGTATCTGTCTTGTCATTCAGAAACAAGGTCTTACACAACAGTAAGTTTTCCTTTTGTTAAAAAACTTCTATGACGTCACCCATTTTATAAGTCTTCGTATATTTTACCGATTCAACCAGCACTAGTTGGATATTTAAAAATCCAACTGGCCATCAGTTGGATATTCAAATATCCAACTGCCTATCGGTTGGATATTTAAATATCCAACTGAGGTGCATAAAACACAAAACAATGAACAAAGAGATCAAACAATTTTAAAATGTATTTCCAATGCACATGAAAAATAATAATTACTCCAAATTTGCCACACTATTAAAATTAATTTCCATTGCACACAGAATTTCCGCACATGTAATTACCTGCATTTATCACATTAAATTTTATTTTAAATGCACAATCCCAATGCTCACAGAAATTACAGTACCTACGAATTTTGCACACATTTAGAAATGCTCTCGGTCTTGGATTTTGAAAGCATCACTTTTTGACACATAAATACATTTTCACCTTGAATCTTAAACTACATCACTTCTTATTGTTGGATATTATTTTATCCGTTATCAGTAAACCCCTTCAGATTATCCGAGATTCATCTCTGTTTCATACTTTTCCTGCGTACTTCCCAAAACAACTTACATGTAATTAATTGACAACCTATCTATTTTTCGACACCGTTCTTATTGCAGATCTTGATATGGAATGTTTTTAAAGCAGGTTCCGCATAACACCGCCAATCTTTTTATCTGTTTTAAAAGCACTACTACAAGTATTGTCCGAATGGAACTCCATGATTAAGAATCCAAAACTTTTCCCCAACAAACCATCACCTTATAATATGCAATTACAAATTCTCAACCTTTTATCAAAATGCTGTAGTTTTCTTCAGCTTTCAGATCAAAAGTGTTCAAAACACCATTTCAACCTCTCTAATTTACTGTGGATTTTTGAATATTCTTCGTCTGATTTCACATGACTGTTCAGTACAATGATGACATCAGCACCATGTAATTTCATCCTCATTAGTCCATGAATAAAAGGAGTGTTCGATAAGGCTATTCTTTTGTGTCACGGTTGAATATTTAAATGGGCTACATCCTATTGTATGACAGCAAATTTGGATATTTGAATGGGTAAATGTTTCTTTGGGGCCCAAAGTAGGGAATTTTTTTTAAAGTAAGATAAATAACGAGATAGTGTTGAATAGTTTAGAGAAAACATCCCCTTCTCGGACCTTTGGCCCTCGGAGAGAATGTTTTCTCTAAACTATTCAACACTACCTCGTTATTTATTCCTTACTTATAACTTTCAGAATTCGGTCCTCTTAATGAATTTGTACTTAAAATAGTCTAATATTTCCAATGTTTAACTGAGCCGTCAGAAAATAAACTGATGTTTGTCCGTAGATTGAGATATCTGACCGCTTATGTCACACAATGGGCTGAATTAGCTACTGTAAACAAACTATTATTTGTGTCATCTTTTATTGGCCATTCGTCAGTTTAAAAACGATCCACGATAATTAATTTTCAGGACCGAGTAACCTTTAATCTACAAAGATAAGCAAAATGATTGGTTCATGATTAATATTTGTGAGTTAAAGAAGGGCACGGAACTTGTGGATATTTATCAGACACAACTAATATTTGATTTTCAGTAAATTTCTGTTGTATTTGTATGTGTTCAACAGTGATTTGAATTGACCAGTTAAAACTCAGTGCTGGTGTAGGAAAATATCATTGAAGCCAGTACAAAATACATTTTTCTTTAAAAAATATGGTATTATAATTAAACATTAATTTATTGACTGTGATCGCAGGCAAAATATATAATATCAATTTCTCAAATCAAGCAGTTTGATTCGTTGGTCTGATAGATGCAATGCATTGCATTTGAATCCAGTCACAAATATGTATTCTATAATTATATAATGATTAATATTCCATGGGGAATGCAGACATTTTTAATAACTGGCATTATGATGAATCTTTATGGCTCCAAAATATGGAGAAATATAGATTTGATAAAAAAATATTTATCCATCTTTGTTAGATAAGGGTTTTTGGTCCATTCCGCTGCAACCAATACATGTACCGCAACCTGATACAGCAGAAAGCATTCTTTCCGACAGAGAGTGATTACATTTTCAGACTTAACTGTATTCATGCATTATACATATACTGTATGTTTATTTTTAAGGTAAACTGAGGAAGTTTTTACTGACTTTTTCAATCAGCACTAATGGCAGTAAGGTTCTCAACACTGATGCCCTCCCGCCTACTGCATTGCCCGCTCTCAATGGGATGAAGGTCCTGAGTATGGGCTGGGTCATTCTGGCTCACTCCTATTACTTCACACGGGCCTATGCAAGTACGTCTGTACCTTAAAGATTACTTGTTTGCTTGTGCTGTCATTTCTTGCATTCTTGCATTAATAGCCAGGCATTGTGTGTAATTCTATTTCGTCATAATTACTTCTGGAATTATGTGAGATAGTAGTACGCATGTGCAACATCAGTGTGGTACGAGTTATGAATGAGGAAGGACGTGGTCCTCCAATTAACACCTTCAGTTCGTGTCTAAGTTAACGTAGTTATCTGCTTTTACGTTTTACACATTGATTAGATTTTTTTATTTACAAAACTCTAGAGTTTTGTTTTTCCGACTATTATTTACAAAATTCAAGGTGTTTTATGTTTACGACTACCACAAGGCGGTCGTTAGACTACATTATGATATTTAAGTAGTAAAAATGGCGGAACAGATGATTCAAAAGAAACGATTAGAGTACTACTTGCTTGAAGAAGAAATAAGCACAGAAAAGACAGACGAAACATGTAAAAGTAACGACGTTACCAAAAAGAACTCTAAAGTCTCTCAATTTGAAAATTTAAATGAACATGTAGTATACCATCATTTCAAGATTAATACTTTCGAATCTGCAGTAAATCTGATCAATTGATATAAGACGTGCCTATCATACAATTCCAATAGCAACTGAGCATCAAAAATATTTGAGATTCAGATGGAAAGGGAAAATGTTTCAATATACCTGCTTACTATTTGGTTTGTAATCAGCACCTAGAATATTCACAAAAGTTCTCAAACTAGTTTTTGCTAAGCTTAGAACAGTAGGTTATCCTTTCATGGCCCACATTGATGATTTTCTACTGTTTGGAGATACTATTGATGAGTGCAGAATGAATGTGAACATCACAAGAGAATATCTTGAGAAATTTGGTTTTGTGATTCATAGAATAAATTATCAGAGAATGATTATTGAATTGACTGACGAGAAGAAAGACATTATTTATGATGAATATATGTGTTTAATGCACGAGCTCAGTCGATTCATCTTATTTCTGTAAATAATATGAAAGTGTTTTAATGAATATATATTCGAATACTCTAGATTGCTAAAGCAATGTAGACCGGGGTATAAAATGCCTGTTGTACATATGAAAGCACATCCTCCAGATTGGAGACTTTGTATTTACGTTGTGGTGAAGGAATATTTATCAAAAACAGCACCTATTAGAAATGTAGAACAATCACTTTTGTAAAGTTATGTTAAACCTCATAAGGCGGTTACAAGAGACACAGTGTCTACATGTGTAGATGGATAAAAATGGTGATGAAACTTTCCGGAGTTAATACAGATGTATCTGGATCGCACTGTGTAAGATCTTCGTTGGTGTCAAAATCGAAATCAGCTGTGCCAGTAGATGAAATTTTAAGGAAGGCTTGATGAACCAATGCTACAACATTTTCCAAATTCTACAATGTACGAAAAAAAAGACATCATTGTTGAAAATGAAATTTTTGCGTCAGAGTTAGAGTGGGGGACTTCTCAGTAAGTGGAATAGTATAATGATCATGTAATTTTTTTGTGTTTGAAACATTTTATCATTATGGGCTTTAAAGTCTCACATAATTCCGGAAGTATTTGTGAGAAATAGAATTTAAAAAATTGACGAAATCTATCTTAGTTAAGTGGAAGTCAGATTGTAATTCTATGGGTCACTATAATTACTGTAGGGATTATGTACCTCCCATCACTCCCTACACAATTATTCAGATATTTAAGGAATCACTGTCTAGTTAGTATAGTATGCCAGGGCATCAACGATAGTGGGAAACATGGGATAATTTGTATAACGGGCGAAGCCTGTTATGCATAAATTATCCCATGTTACTAACAAGACAGTGATTCCTTATTGCGTGGACCCTGATGTCCACGCAGTAAATACATAAGCGAGGTTAAACCGGATGCCATGGGCAAACGACAGGCTAAGCATGCGCGAGAATGCTAGAGAGTTCGCACCTTAGGTAACTTGCCCGTAGAATAATTCGCCCTATTCGAATTAGAATATGCCTTTCATTGTAAAATTGCGCTTTTAAATCCGCATATCGCATTTACATATTCATTGGCGGATCCGAATTTCTCTCTTATTCATATACTTTTATACAAACTAAACATTGATTCTATGGTACAAGCAATTTAAAAAGTAGGAGAACTTGCAGTATATAGATAGATGTAACTTAAGGTCATACGCAATGTAGTTTGAACTTTATTGGGTCCTTCCCTGGAGTTGAAGAGTTCCACTAAACGAAGGACCCGTGTGCAATACTTTTAATGTCTATATATGGATTTGTATACCTCTTTTAAAACAATATTCGATGAAAAAAAATCTGGAATTTATGTTTTGTAATTTTTGTGCATTTTTCTTTGAATAATGCAAAATTTTTCACAATTTGATATCTTTTCAAAACCCCTGGTAACGCATGCTGATTTTTTGTCTAAGAACATGTAATGGTATTGTAAGTTTAAATTTAGAATATCTTGAAAAATTATCAGTAGGTGAGTTACGTTGCGTATGTCCTTAACAACTTGAATAAAAAAACGTCATTCAACGACCAGTTCTAGCTTTTAAAAGACAAGTTTTCACCGGCATTAGTTTTGTGCATCAAGGCTCGCAAAATAATTTAATACTTTAGCAATCCAAATACCGTTTGATAGAGGTCTGTAGCAACGGCTTTTAATGTGTGTGTGTGTGTGTGGGGATCCAACAAAAAAAAAAACAACAAAAAAAATATGCGTACTACAGAGCTGTGTTACACGTAAACCATCAGATCTCTATTTTTCCCATGATATATTTTTTCTGTATAAATCCAGAACAGGTGTCAAGTCCCAGCCATTATGGGTAACATGTATCAAAATAGCCCGATTTTTTAAACTGACAAAACTAAAGGCCGCTAATCGGAGATAAAATTTATCAATTTTTCTTTGAGACTACAATCAATCATAAGTAGAACAAATCTACATGAATATTCACCAAAACTAGATATTTCTTAATTGAATTTCGGTTAGAAAAACATGCATATGGTCCACGTATTGCAGTCCTTTTTTAAAGGACAGCAACTTGTTTTTCAATTTCGTTGTGACCGTTCACGATAGCTCAGTCGGTAGAGCGCTCGCTCCGTGATCGGGAGGTCGTGAGTTCGTATCTCGGCTGACCCAGTCGATAAAATGGGTAGCAACTGTTCCTTCGCGATGCGCTCGGCACTTTGAAGTGAAAGTTGCGGGTCCTTCGGATGAGACCTTAAAAACCGAGGCCCCGTGTTAGCGGCAGGCGTTGGCACGATAAAGATCCCTCACTGCTCAATGGCCCTGAGTGCCGAGTAAATGTCAAAATTTGAAGCCCTTCACCGGCATACGGTGACGTCTCCATATGAGTGAAAAATTCTCGAGAGGGACGTTAAACAATATAAAATCAATCAATCAATTTCATTGTGAATTAAAGTTGAAGATTTAGACTTTTAAAAATGTTGACATAGATTTTAATTACACGAGGACTCCCATGCCAATTTAAATAGTCCTGGCCTACTGAGGTCAAACACAAAGGCAGCCACACGAGATTTACATGCATATTTGGCCTCCTTGGCTCCTGACCTATCGACCTGCCTAATTTACATTCTGGTACAATTATCAAGAAATCAACTCAATCCGCTAACTTTCAAAGAGTTATCACAGAGATAAAATTAGAAATGGAAATATACATAGATATCAAACCAATAATGCATAGAGTAATATCAAGTAAGGCATTTATATTCAGTTTGATTACATTATGACCAAATGTTTTAGTTTGAAAACTGAGGTTGCACATGCGTAGTTGTACTACTATCTCACATAATCCCTACAGTAATTATAATGACTCATAGAATTATAACCTGACTTCAACTTAACCAAGGTAAGTCTCCTCAAAGTTTTAATTTTTTAGGTGAGGTATTAAAATACAAGTATTGGTAATTTGTATAGAGAACATCATGTCAGCTTCATAGTGAACTATTTGCTGAAGTGTCGTATGGTTTTCTTTTATGAAATTGAGGGCGCACATTGATGTTTTGAGAGTTCCTTTAAAAGGCTAGATTTTATAAAGAGAGTACTCTAGAACTCAACAGATGAAAAAGCCTGGAGAAATTCAGATGTTTTAAAACTTTGTCAACTTTCCTTCTTTATTAATATTTTTTCTTTCAGGAAATATTATACCTGCAACTCTGAATTGGTATCAAAGATGGACCTTCCAGATCGTGAAGAATGGAAATTATGCCGTGGATTCATTCTTTCTGCTCAGGTATTTCAACAGCAATGAAACCTTGTCAGATTTTTCATTTTTTTTTATATCTGTCACTAAAAAAATGTAATGAAAGTACTACATATAAGTATATTTAATTGGGGCTTGTGTACATGGTAGCCTTTTAAGGGGCAGTTGTACCCCAGTACTGTGTTAAGATAGAAGGTCTGCAGTAACACTGATAAATGACTTACTTCACCTGTTTTATACATAACTATACATGCATGTCAAAGGAGGTCTTAATTAATTTTGCTATGACATATGTAGATGGTCCATGCAGCCATGGTTTCATTGATTTGATGGAAAGGATTCTATTTTCAGCGGTTTGTTGGTAAGTTATTTGACCCTCAAAGAGTTACAGAAAAGAGACGGGAAGCTGAACTGGTTACTATTCTACTTCCATAGATTCTGGAGGTGAGGATATAGTCATATTTATAATGACATATATAGATATTTCTATTTCAACTCTTTAATATTTATCTAGCTGCATTTACAAAATGATTGAGTACTGTATTTGAGAGGAAAATAGTTTTCAGTAAACTAGAGTAAATAATTATGTGTTCCAGACATTAAGGAATGTACCTGATCTAGTACGAAGCTGCTTTCCATCAAAGGTGCAAAAAAAAAAAAAAAAAAAAAAAAAACCTAAATGTAATGTGTATATATTATATTAAAGGTGTATTCTTTGTTTATGAAAACCTTTGAATCAAATATAACTGATTTTATCTTAGCTGCCTTTATGAACAACATTATTTTACATTGATTTCCTGAAAAATTTGCATAAAGAAGAAAACATCCTGTCATGTAGGTTGACCCCTACCTTTATGCTGTTTATCCTGGTGTACACGGCCTACTTCCAGTACTGGGGCTCGGGACCTCTCTGGCCCCTGACGTCACCCGACTACCAGAGGTGTAAGAATTACTGGTGGAGGAATCTTCTGTATATCCAGAGCTTCTTCCCCGTCAGTGAAGAGGTAAACTTGATTTAAGACGTGTGATTAGTCGGAAATGAATTTATCTAGCTGGGGCACATGTGAGCTGTTGCTGGATGGTATAAAGTACCGGGTATACTGACAATCAAAAGAAACGCAATACCCTCATTTTAGGGGGAAAGTTATATATACTCTTAAAACACCCCCTTTCCGACCATTCAATTACAACGAGCTAGTCCGCCATGTACATCAAATGCAGCCCGACTTAAACCTTATATATACTCTTAAAACACTGTTTTAATGCCTTTTTTCGATTAATTATTAAAATTAAACAAAATTAAGAAATTATAAGTATAAAAATGTAATTACAATCTGATTTTTTAAACCGATTTTGCAATTGATGGGTAAGTTGACGTCGTTGCAGTGTGTTTTTGACGTTATGATAATCTGTAGCTCTTGAAGAAAGAAAAAGTAATAAATATGCGCTCTTGAAATTTAAAACATAGAAATTTGAGAATATCTCCAATATTTATATTATGTTTTCATGTGAATCCATTGTGTACGTCATATTTTAAAATACTCAATAAAAATAGTAAATTAAATTTGCTAATTTTTGCATTTTGAGATATCCCCTCTGCTAACAAGACGGTAGAATTTTGTGTTTCTTACATATATTGTATAATATAGTATTACTCATCAAATATCATAGTTTGAACAAATGTCTATTGTAGTATTTGTATAATTTGCTCTAAAGTGCTAAAAGATGGCATTTTCCTATATAATTCTATAGTAAATCTACCTGTATTTTGAGACGGTCCCTCAAAAATACCTGGACGGTAGATTTCCCCCACACTTTGCATGTACACTGAAGTTAATGTAAGTTATATATGGTATAAAAATGAAGAGTTTCACTATTGTAGTTTTCACACAACAAAACTATAGTCGACCCCCTTAAACATTGCATTAGGTTTACTAATGTCTTAATCTGAGCGAAATTAATATTCTTTGGCATTTTTAATTGCCTGTTTGCATCTGCAGCTCTCCCTTTTCTTTATTTTGAGAATTTCCAGCACTAACAATGAAAATGCTTGCATTCAGACATTTTGAGGAAATATATGCATTACATTCGGAAAAGAAAGAAGGATTCTCCCCCGGGATTTCAGTACAATACTTATATTTAACAGCTACAAAACCCTGAAAACCGAAAATATTGTCAAATATTTTTATTAAAAATGCAAATTTTTGATTTCTGTTAAGAGGGCTAAAAATCAACTTCCGCTAATGGAATGAAAAATCATTCAACCATTAAATAACTGATTTGGTAAAGTTAAAGATTTCCTAAGTTTTTTTGGTACATAGTTATAACCTGTATATAATTTCCCCCCTAAAATGAGGGTGTTGCGTTTATTTTTTATTGTCAGTATATAATGGTGGTGATGTGCAATGTCTATGATATTTTGGACCAAATTCGAAATTCATTACACGGTTGTTTCTCTTCATGTTGTCCATCTGCTCCATATTGTTTGTGAAAGTTAATGAAAGTCTATTCCTTATCTAATTAATTATAATATATATAATTAATATTTTGTATATTCTTTTTACTGTACACAAAAATATAGATTCTACAATAATTGCTTTAACAAAATATGATCCCATGCGTACGTTTGCTATCTTTATTTTTAGTGCATTGGTTGGGGTTGGTACCTTGCAAATGACATGCAGTTTTTTGTAATTTCACCATTTATAATATACCCTTTGTACAGGTTAGTGTTGTGCTGATTAATAAATTTTTCTCGTGAACCTTATGCAGAAAAAAACATGCTTACAGCAAACTTGCTTATAATGAATAAATTTACGCTAATTATAAAATATAATATATAATTCAAGACTCAATTTGAATATATATATATATATATATATATATATATATATATATATATATATATATATATATATATATATATATATATATATATATATATATATAAATCTTTTCAAAAAAGAAACACGAAAACCTTTAGTTTATATATATATGTTTGTATGTAATGTTCCGCTTATATATATGACGTTATGACGTTATGTTGCTATGTTACGTATTATAAAGCTTCTGAAGATTTGAAATGAAAGCGCTTAAGCTAAACAGTGATTTGTTTTTGGATATTATATATATATATATATATATATATATATATATATATATATATATATATATATATATATATATATATATAATAGCACAAAGAAATTCACTTTTACATGGATACCCATGTAAAAGCACAAAGTGAATTTCTTTGTGCTTTATATATTAATATTTCTTCACTTAGGGCAGTTATGTTAGTTTAAGAGTTGTGGTAAAATGTGCTTTATATATATATATATATATATATATATATATATATATATATATATATAGATTTTGATGTCTTATTGGATAAGATCTCCAGTGATTTGTAGTTGGATATTATTTTTATCCAACGAGTTGTTTGTTATGAAAACGAACAACGAGTTGGGAAAAAAAAACATATCAAACTACAAATCATTGGAGATACTTTTTATCTTACAGTTTTTAGCTCACCTGAGCCAAAGGCTCAAGTGAGCTTTTCTGATCAAAATTTGTCCGTTGTCTGTCGTCGTTGTCGTCGTTGTTGTCGTTAACTTTTCACATTTTCATCTTCTTCTCAAGAACCACTGGGCCAATTTCAACCAAACTTGCTACAAGTATCCTTTTGTAAAGGGGATTCAAGTTTGTTCATATGAAGGGCCACGCCCTTTTCCAAGGGGAGATAATTATGAATTAGAGAAAAATTAATGGCATTGATAAAAAATCTTCTTCTCAAGAACCACTGGGCCAGGAAAGATGAAACTCATGTGGAATCATCCTCAGGTAGTGTAGATTCAAATTTGTTCAAATCATGACCCCCGGGGCTAGGGTGGGGCCAAAATGGCCGACCAAAGTTTTACATAGGAATATATAGGAAAAATCTTTAAAAATCTTCTTCTCAAGAACCAATGGGCCAGGAAAGATGAAACTCATGTGGAATCATCTTCAGGTAGTGTAGACTCAACTTTGTCCAAATCATGACCCCCGGGGCTAAGGTGGGGCCAAAATGGCCGTCCAAAGTTTAACATAGGAATATATAGGAAAAATCTTTAAAAATCTTCTTCTCAAGAACCACTGGGCCAGGAAAGATGAAACTCGAGTGAAATCATCCTCAAATAGTGTAGATTCAAGTTTGTTAAAATCATGACCCCCAGGGCTAGGGTGGGGCCAAAATGGCCGACCAAAGTTTTACATAGGGATATATGGGGAAACCTTTTAAAATCTTCTTTTTCAAGTACTTCAAAGCCATGATTAGTGATGTTTATATGGAATCATCCTCAGGTAGTGTAGATTCTAGTTTGTTCAAATCATGACCCTCTGGGGGGTTATAATTTTAAGCCCTCCCCCCCTCAGTAAACTCAGTTCTGATCTGATTTGTGCTTTTTCCTAGCTGATGTGCTCAGGTGAGCGCTGTGGCCCCTGGGCCTCTTGTTGTATTATACATTTATAGGACTCCACTTCATTTTACTTCATTACACTAATGCAAAACCTATTCTGACGTAACAACTGTGGGATGAAAAATGATAAAAAATGAGCTATATTCACAGGATTTAAGAAATGAATGTAATATTTTTTTCTTTGATCGATGTATCAAAGAAAAAAATTGGACGGAAAACTTCATCAATACGCGTAGCGCATTAATGAAAAAGTTTTCCGTCCAAATTTTTTCTTTGATACATCCATCAAAGAAAAAAATATTACATTCATTTCTTATCATTTAATTATGGTTTTGAATTAATAAAATGAAAGTTTCTTTCACCTTAATAATGTATTTACGCATCAAAAACAGTGCGCACGAATATATCACAACTTTTATTTAACGTTGCAGAAAATTCAAAATGGCTTTAACCATGCTAACGAAAAAACGATATTGTCGTGCGATTACCAACATTCTCTGAAATAATATATAGTTCTTTAACACAAAAAACATACCTGTTGTGTTATCCCTCTGTGTATATTTTCCCTGGTAAGTTATCCAAGTTCGAATATGTATTAAGGGAAGCTACTCAAATATCCTAACAGTTCTAGGTCACAGAAATTTTGGATTTCATTTGCGCATCTTTTCATCTGAATTTCAAACCGAATATATAAATACATATCACAACCTGTCAATGCTGTAAGACCTGAAAGAGTCTGCTGCCTACTGTTCAAGATTAAAAGAATTCCGTCTTCATTCATGCAGTGTCGTTTTCTCGATCATTCGTTTCCCACGACCTAGCAAATTAACGGTTTCCTTCGCTTTGGTAGCATAATAAAACATTTTTTCAGAGTTCTATTGTTTCCTACCAGATATATATCTCAAAGTCAGATACTTAAGAAAAATATGCCGATTTCTTCCCTTCTTTCCCATAACTGTATTGTCGTCAAGCAGACGATTTGATTTGTTTAGAAAAGGGGGATAATTCAAAATGAAAACGAAAGTAGAAAATAAGTCAGGAACTTAACGGACAGGTTCCGAAATTCAGGAAAATATTTATTAACGTAAAGGTATTGAGGGTGAATTCACCATGCATCGGACACCCTTGTACTTTAACAAGTTCCAGCGATATCGCTACCGACAGAAAATTATCAAAATGGAGCTTAACACTTAGTATGTGATTAAAATATCAATTTGGGACACAATTATATGTCTTTTATTGAGAAAATATCACCAAAAAACGATTTTTTCTAAAAAATTCAAAATTCACCATGGATCGGACATTATTCACCATGCATCGGACGGACGGTATTTCGACCGAAAAAATATACCTTTGTCACAGTGCTTTAAAATCCTTGATATGGATATACTTTTATATTTTATCTAAGAAATAACCCTCAACTTAAATTTAATTGAAGATATCGTTGCTCAAATGTAGAACGATTCAAGATGACTCACTTTGCCTTAGAAATGCTTTAAAATGCTTGTAATGCTGTAATTTGCGCCTTTTTCTCATGCGTTAAGATAGTCTGGTTTGGAGAAATAAATTGAGTCAGATTCTAGACGTCATATATCGATATCTTGTATTTTGACTGAAGATTTAGAGATTTTATTTTCTATTTCCGCAAAAAACAGCTGTCAGGTGGGTTCTGTATTAAAATGGTAGTGATTAAGTGAGTATTTAAACATGTATACATGTACAAATGAATAACATGATTAGGTCATGTACTTGTATAAAAATACCATATGACATGAAAGTGTCCACAGCAAAATTGAAACATCAGCAATAACATTTGTCATATATTCTCTATTGTAAATTTATGAAAAATCAAGTTATTTGATATTCGAGCATACAAATAAGAATGGGAAATCTTTACAGGTCAAACTCAGACAAGATTGTGTACATCCTCCCCATTTCATAATTATTCCATATATTTCCTTGTTCTTTTTCCTTCTGTATCTTTCAATATTTTCAGTTGTCCTCCCTCTGATCTGACCATTTTGAAAATCTCTTTGAACTGTACCAAAAATGCAAATCCACCAGTTCTCCCCTTCCTGAACAATTTCTTTGTGGCACAGAATGGTCTCTACAAAAATTTAAAAAATAAAAATAAAATGATTATTAAATTACAAAATCAATTCTACAAGTTATATTAAAGTAACTTATCATCAGCAAACAAATGTATTCTCAATTCACTGACAAAGGATATGATATGAGATAAAACTAATGTTATATATGTTATACTAGGTGTTTTATGGAATCCTATGATGTAATTTGCAAGACAATTACACTGTTGGAAGATATGCTTCATAATAAAATTATAAAAAGCATTTATTTTTTAAATTTTGACAATTGAATTGAATTTTGCAAGACAATTACACTGTTGGAAGATATGCTTCATATTAAAATCATAAAAAGCATATTTTTTATTTTGACAATTGAATTTGGAATGTTCAAATAGTATATATTAATTCAAATTGCCAAAAATTAAAAAGATTCTGACACAAATAGGCAGAAAAAACAGACTTTGTGATTCCAGGATATCCCACACTTTGTTGGAAAGAATATAACCAGGTCTATTAAACAGTGTGTAGTTACCTTAACTTTGAAGCAAGCCTTGGATCTTTGGATTTTTTCTTATGAGGGGCTGACTGTAAATTGAACCTGTAAAACAAATATTCAAACAGTAGATATTTTCTAAGCATAACTAAAACAATATTCAATGGATTAGCTATCTGATGTCCTTTCAACACAGTCACATGCACATGCACATGTACAGTATTTGTACCTTGAAAGTTGCCACTGTTATTATTAATTTTTTGCTGAAATTCAAAAACTCAATTTACCCCCTGAAGGTATTGTATAGTTTCATAGCTTTTAAAGCAAGATAATTCTATTCAAACTTTCCTTATTTTAAAAGTGCATTTGATTAAAATTGTTTCAAATTTAGAGTAAAACTTCTATATTATTGATATGAATTTATTTTTGATGAAGCCGTGCAAACGCGTTAACAATGTAGAATTAAAAAGGAACAAAAAGAAATTATCAAGAATTATTTTGTCATAAAGGAGTCATGATTAAAGATGTACACTTTAATTTTTTATTGCAATATTTTTACCTTTAATATTGTGATGATGCAATCGTCTGTCAGAATCAGCTTTAGGATCAATCGCCAGTCTTATCAGCTTTGGGCTTCTTGGACTTCATAAACAAAGCAACACTGTGACATTGAACTCACGTTGTTGAATGCATCTAGGGTGAATTCACCTTGCATCGGAGACCCTTGTACTTCAACAAGTTCTAGCGATATCGCTACCGACGGAAACTTCTCAAAATGGAGCTTAACACTTAGTATGTGATTAAAATATAAATTTGGGACACAATTATAAGCCTTTTATTGAGAAAATATCACCAAAAAACGATTTTTTCTAAAAAATTCAAAATTCACCATGGACCGAACATTATTCACTATGCATCCGACAGATGGTATTTCGACCGAAAAAATATCATACCTTTATGACAGTGCTTTAAAATCCTTGATATGGATATACTTTTATATTTTATCTAAAAAATAACCCTCAACTTAAAATTTAATTGAAGATATCGTTGCTCAAATGTAGAACGATTCAAGATGCCTCACTTTGCCTTAATAATGCTTTAAAATGCTTGTAATGCTGTAATTTGCGCCTTTTTCTCATGCGTGAAGATAGTCTGGTTTGGAGAAATAAATTGAGTCAGATTCTAGACGTCAAATATCAATATCTTGTATTTTGACTGAAAATTTAGAGTTTTTATTTTCTATTTCCGCAAAAAACAGCTGTCAGGTGGGTTCTGTATTAAAATGGTAGTGATTAACTTTGCATCGGAAAGTGTCCGATGCATGGTTAACTTGTGTCTGATGTACGGAGAAATAAACATACTAGTAAAAACCAGCTCTAAAAAGAATTATACAAACACTGAAGTGAAATTTCTTTAAAATCTATGTAAAATTGCCAATCTTTGACAAAATTTACCAAAGTCTGACTCGTTCCGTTGATGTCGAATTTAAAAGAACGATAACTCTTAAAATTGCATAATCATAAATTTCTGGTTATTCCTCTTTGATGATATCATATGAAAAATAACTTCATATGTTTTGCATATGAATAGTTTATGTGTGTGTCAAGCCATTTACATGTGAGAATCATATGAAAAGGGTATCATATGTAAATCATATGAAACAGTTATGCGTGTTCTCTTTCAACATTTTTCACATTCTTGTACACATTTAAAAATCAGATATTTCTGCTTTAGATGAAAATTCATAACATTACAATGATTTATCTTCATTGGTTAAATATTTTAAAATATCTTATAATGCTTACACAACTTTTTTGATAAAATTATTTTCATCAAGAGAAATAACTTATTTTTCACAGTGTACATTTTAAACAAGAAAAATATACAAACAAGTCAGTAGAATTTGTTGATACATGTATTTGACATATTCTAAAATGTGTACAAATTATAAGATTTCAGCAAAATGATGAAGTATTTAAACATGTATACATGTACAAATGAATAACATGATTAGGTCATGTACTTTTATAAAAATACCATATGACATGAAAGTGTCCACAGCAAAATTCAAACATCAGCAATAACATTTGTCATGTATTCTCTATTGTAAATTTATGAAAAATCAAGTTATTTGATATTCCAGCATACAAATAAGAATGGGAAATCTTTACAGGTCAAACTCAGACAAGATTGTGTACATCCTCCCCATTTCATAATTATTCCATATATTTCCTTGTTCTTTTTCCTTCTGTATCTTTCAATATTTTCAGTTGTCCTCCCTCTGATCTGACCATTTTGAAAATCTCTTTGAACTGTACCAAAAATGCAAATCCACCAGTTCTCCCCTTCCTGAACAATTTCTTTGTGGCACAGAATGGTCTCTACAAAAATTTAAAAAATAAAAATAAAATGATTATTAAATTACAAAATCAATTCTACAAGTTATATTAAAGTAACTTATCATCAGCAAACAAATGTATTCCCAATTCACCGACACGGATATGATATGAGATAAAACTAATGTTATATATGTTATACTAGGTGTTTTATGGAATCCTATGATGTAATTTGCAAGACAATTACACTGTTGGAAGATATGCTTCATAATAAAATTATAAAAAGCATTTATTTTTTAAATTTTGACAATTGAATTGAATTTTGCAAGACAATTACACTGTTGGAAGATATGCTTCATATTAAAATCATAAAAAGCATATTTTTTATTTTGACAATTGAATTTGGAATGTTCAAATAGTATATATTAATTCAAATTGCCAAAAATTAAAAAGATTCTGACACAAATAGGCAGAAAAAACAGACTTTGTGATTCCAGGATATCCCACACTTTGTTGGAAAGAATATAACCAGGTCTATTAAACAGTGTGTAGTTACCTTAACTTTGAAGCAAGCCTTGGATCTTTGGATTTTTTCTTATGAGGGGCTGACTGTAAATTGAACCTGTAAAACAAATATTCAAACAGTAGATATTTTCTAAGCATAACTAAAACAATATTCAATGGATTAGCTATCTGATGTCCTTTCAACACAGTCACATGCACATGCACATGTAAAGTATTTGTACCTTGAAAGTTGCCACTGTTATTATTAATTTTTTGCTGAAATTCAAAAAACTCAATTTACCCCCTGAAGTTATTGTATAGTTTCATAGCTTTTAAAGCAAGAAAATTCTATTCAAACTTTCCTTATTTTAAAAGTGCATTTGATTAAAATTGTTTCAAATTGTAGAGTAAAACTTCTATATTACTGATATGAATTTATTTTTGATGAAGCCGTGCAAACGCGTTAACAATGTAGAATTATAAAGGAACAAAAAGAAATTATCAAGAAGTATTTTGTCATAAAGGAGTCATAAAGATGTACACTTTAATTTTTTATTGCAATATTTTTACCTTTAATATTGTGATGATGCAATCGTCTGTCAGAATCAGCTTTAGGATCAATCGCCAGTCTTATCAGCTTTGGGCTTCTTGGACTTCATAAACAAAGCAACACTGTGACATTGAACTCACGTTGTTGAATGCATCTAGGGTGAATTCACCATGCATCGGACACCCTTGTACTTCAACAAGTTCTAGCGATATCGCTACCGACGGAAACTTCTCAAAATGGAGCTTAACACTTAGTATGTGATTAAAATATAAATTTGGGACACAATTATAAGCCTTTTATTGAGAAAATATCACCAAAAAACGATTTTTTCTAAAAAATTCAAAATTTACCATGGACCGGACATTATTCACTATGCATCCGACAGATGGTATTTCGACCGAAAAAATATCATACCTTTATCACAGTGCTTTAAAATCCTTGATATGGATATACTTTTATATTCTATCTAAAAAATAACCCTCAACTTAAATTTAATTGAAGATATCGTTGCTCAAATGTAGAACGATTCAAGATGCCTCACTTTGCCTTAATAATGCTTTAAAATGCTTGTAATGCTGTAATTTTGTCCGATGCATGGTTAATTTGTGTCTGATGTACGGAGAAATAAACATACTAGTAAAAACCAGCTCTAAAAAGAATTATACAAACACTGAAGTGAAATTTCTTTAAAATTTATGTAAAATTACCAATCTTTGACAAAATTTACCGAAGTCTGACTCGTTCCGTTCAAGTCGAATTTAAAAGATCGATAACTCTAAAAATTGCATAATCATAAATTTCTGGTTATTCCCCTTTGATGATGTAAAATATGACGTAACTTCAACATAGGCGTAGTCACAGGGGGGGCAACAAGCCCCCCCACTTTCAGGAAACCTTTTTACCTTTAATACATAGTTGTATATGAAGAACAAAATGAAATAATAGTAATTAATACATAGTTGTAAATAAAATTGTGGAGAAAAATTGAAATTGAAAATAATTTGCCTTTGGATACATTATAATACTGTCTCTTATGGTGATGCAGTTGGTTTTCAGGGGGATAATATCAGTACAACTGCATATGAACTTGAACCAATCACCCAAGTAAGTTAATGATGACAACATATAGTGTAGACAAGTATCTACATGTATATTGGTTTAAATATTTATAGGCAGCTGTTAGTCCTACAGGATATTTATAGTCACTTATTTGTTTTCTCATATGATGTCAAGGTCATAGGCTCATATTTTTTAACATTATTTCCCAGACTTATAACAATGAACATCTGATATTTAGGGCGCATTTTATTGCTTTCCTGCTACTATTTACAAAATATCTAATATATTATTGTCTAAGTTTATAATTAAGAGAAATATATGAAAATCAAAATATAAGCTTGATCAATGACAAAATATGTATATTACATGTAGTGAGTACTGTAGATTCCTAATTTTCGTGAGTACTTATTATCGCGAATGGGCTCTTCAACGTCAAATTCCGAGAATAATAATTTGCGAATTGACGGTGGATCAAGAGATTTTACATAGATTTCAGCACCATAAATATAAAGGCGAATAATTTTATTTTGTGTGTGATGTCTCTCGCAGAATAACGTGATAATTAATTCCACACATTTCTTTATAAATCTACTATAATTCTTTGTATCCCATGTTGCCTACAATTTGCTATCTTTACAGCCCGGTAGAGTCATTTGATAAGATGTACCAAAAGCCCTATGCCAGAATAGCCCCATACCTTATTGGAGTTCTAACAGGATACTTCATGTGGAAATCAGAGAGACGAGTCAAGCTGCCAAAAGTAAGTATTAATGTCAAAAATGTACATCTGCAGATTTACAAAAAAACAGTTTTTGGGATGCTGATTATTGAAATTACATATTAAGGTTTGAAAAACAACAAATCATAAAATAATGTCTACAATTCGGACAAAGTTTTATTACTGCATACTCCTTAGAGTTTGATGTTTGAAAATTAGCCATCATACTTCCTTGTAACTATATATATGTATATGCCAGTCCAAAAAAGTTGAAAAAGAACAAAGCAAACAAATACTCCTGTAAAAGAATGCATTTTTAAAAAACTTAAAAAAGGGAAAATTTAACTGTCAGACTGATTTTCAACAAATATGTTTATTGCTGCAAGTGTTAGTAAGTTCTTTTAAGGAAATAGATTGATTTTTTTAAAATAGCTACAAGTAGATGCATATGCTTCAGAAAACAGTTTATATATTTAGCTTTATATATAACCAGGTGACTGTGGTGTTGGGATGGATTATTGCCCTGGTTTGTGTGTCTTCTTTGGTGTTTGGGAGCACTGAACAGAATAGGGGTCATAAATTCTCCACAGCAGTTTCTGCCCTTTACAACTCTTTGTCAACTACAACTTGGGGCTTGGGTGTAGCATGGATTATTTTTGCCTGCAGTATAGGATATGGAGGTTTAAAAAAAAAGAGAGCAAATATAATAAAAAATATTTCAACTTGTTGTTGCACTGCTGTGCCTTTGTATTAAAAAAACAAAAATAATGTACCTTAATTGGTATATGTATTTAAATTTTCCCAGATGTTTCACATCAAAGGCATCATTGAGCTTTAAATTGAACTTTTCACATAATATCTTAATTTTTCTTGTCGAGAACCAATGAACCAGCTTTACTAGTATATTTTATGTCAGAAGTGAATTAAGATCGACAGTGTTTGGTTCATGTTTAATGGACACATTGTAACATTTGACCCTGTAGGTTTTATCAACACGTTCCTGTCGGCCCGTCTGTGGTCTCCCCTCAGTCGCCTGACCTACTGTGCCTACCTGGTTCATCCCGTCATCATGTTTGTCTACCTTTTGAGCCAAAGAGATACTTTGTACTTCTTTGACATCAACATGGTGAGTACAACTCAAACTTTAACTTCAATCTACAGTATGATGCAAAATATATTCGTACAAAATGGCGGCATGTTTACATTCGCGACGAAAGTAGGCCAACATTGAAACTTGTCTATTTCATCTCTGAAATAAAATAAATCAAAAATAAATTTTCAAAAACGCCAGCGTGGCGCAGTGGTTAGAGCGTCTGCTTTAGAGTCGCGAAGAAAGGAGTCAATCCTTACGTCGCGGGTTCGAATCCCACCGGGGGGCGTGGAGACCGGTCCTTCGGAGGAGACCGTATAACCGAGGTTCCATGTCGCAGTAGGTGCTGGTACTAAAAATATCCCTCCCTGCTCAATGGCCCTGAAAAGGACAAAATTTGCAGCTCTAGATCTCCACCGGAAAATGGTGGCGTCTCCATATGAGTGAAAAAAATCAATCAATCAAAAATCTTTTAAACGTATTACACTTAGTAATCGTCTCCGAATCGTCCTGTACAGGATTTTGACATACATGTACTCTGGTGTAATATTGGTCCAAATGAGCTGGATTGTACGGAAGAGATCCGTCTTTGTTATTAATTCTCCTATTCTTCCACTTCCTAATCTTCTTCATACCTATAACTTTTCATATCAACTTTACTATATCCAAGTTTTTGAGGGGGTCTGCGTTTTGAAGGGGGAGGGTTCAATTTTGACTTGGTTTAGTATGTAAATTAAGTAACTCTGCAAATTCCAGGAGGCGGACCCCCCTTCTTCTAGATCCGTGCACGTTTCATGAAGCTTTCTTTTATTAAAGAGCCACAGATTATCAATTATATTTAAGTCTGGACTCTTTGCTGGCCAGCTCGTTGTTGCAATTCCGTTCCTGTGCAAATAATCATGCATTGAACGTGCACAGTGTACAGGACCATTATCGTCTTAAAAAATATAATTTCCATTCAGAAAATTACGGGCTATAAAACTGACCACAAATTGTCATCTAAGATCTTCTGATATTTATCAACATTTTTATTTCCATCCACATAAGAAGTAGGGCCGATTTTATGCCAAGTGATACACCCCCAGATTTGTTTTGTTTTGCCTCTATATGTATATATTACATGTACACATATCATGTTTACATGTATTATCTTTATTTATTTTTTAACGCTTTATTTTAGAATTAGGCCTCCAGCCTTCCCCCTGTTTCCTCCAAATATACACACGAGAGTCTTGTCTCACAACAATCGAACAATGGATTAATCTGAGAATTTCATTTGTCTTTTCCAAAAGTTGGCAGCAGTGAGTTTTCTCTTTTCTCGACACCAAGATAAAATTTTCTCCTATTCTTGATTTATACCAGTTTCTTTTATTTGCAATCCATCTAGTTTACGATTTAATGTTTATGTGGATGTAATTTTACAGTTTGTTTAGATACTGAGTGTTCTTTATTTTCATTGCATTGTGCTTTCTATCCTGTAAACTTCTCTCATGTAGGTTTTTACGAGCCTTTCTAGCTTTCGATAGTCTCGGGCTGTTACGATAAGTTTCCCGTTTCTTCACGGGATGTTTTCTTTGAAACCTCGACGTTCTACACGCTTCTTAAAACTTGCTATTGTAGTCCTGGACACATCTAATGTTTCTGACATGTAGCTTTTATTTTTTTCTTCTTGTAATAATTTCCAAACAATTTCTTTTACCTTGTTAATTATTAAATTCTTCCCTTTTCTCCCCAAGTTGTTACCGCCGGTTTAGATTTGTTTACGTAACAAACGACAATAAAATCACGTGACACATAAAATTTCACATGATTAAAAATGTTATAAATAATTTTCGAAATTCCAATCTCTATTTATAAACTACTTTAGTTTATATCCCCCGTAAATATGTACAGGTCGAAAGGCGAATGTAAACACCCCGCCCTTTGGTACGAATATAATATATTTCATCAGGCCAAATTTAGAAATTGTTTGGTTACCCTCTCCCTACTCGGTCTGAAAATATTGGATCGGTAGGAAATAATTTTGAAAAATTAGGCTAATTTTTTTTTGAAACTTTCAATTTTAAAAATCATATTTTCTAGAGTACAAATAAAAAGTGATTGCTTCCTGGGGCTTAAAAGAATTTGGAGTCAGGCCATCTTTATTTAGTGAGTCGGGACAAGTCAATCAAAGAATTTTATAAACATAACGTCATCTGTTCCATTTTGGATATAGGGGATCTTTCAGGGAAAATATGTTTAATCAAGACCACACTTCTTATAAAAGTTATGGAAATAATATGCTGGTTTTAATGGGGTTAAAAGATTAATTTGGACCCATGGCAAAAAAATTATATTCTCAATACTAGCTGTCTGTAGACAGGATATGTACTGATATTTGAATTTGAGATATAAGATTGTAAGTCTTTCAAGTTGGAATGTCTACATGACCAGATTTTATGATCGAAAGATCTGATAAAATAAATGCAATGATGTACTAAAAGGGGATATTACATGGTACATATATCAATGTTTTGAGATAACTTTATCTTATTAATTTTTTAACTTTGCTTTGTATTAAATTAATAAAAAAAACCCACACACACAACAAAAACTTAAGATCGTATTTTAAGAAATATTGATGTAGCAACAACATTATAATTTTAAGTTTTCTAGATCTTCCTTTGTACATTTTGAAAGTAAGTTTTTCTTTGTTTCCAAAATATAGGACTAAACTTTACTATTAGAACTAAACATCTTTTACATAAAAAAATATTTATATGTAATTTTAAAAAAATATATATGTATGTATTTAGCTTTAACTGGTTTAGAATCTGAAATATTGTAATATACATTTAACATGTATGAATATTTAATTTTGAAATTTTGTAGACGCAGCACAAAGTAAAAGTTAATATTATACAAGTAGAATCGTATTTGGTTTTCTACAGTTTGTGTTATAATCAGCGTACAGGATCTTCTGCATTTGTCAAGTGTCTGTCAGTCTATTTAAGTGTTTGATTTTTATTGAAAGTGCTTTCCCTGATTTGAATAAGACATTCAAAAGATTAAGACTACATAATGACAGATAGTCTTTAGATCATTAAAAGATTAGACAGTCATATTTTGAATAGAATAAGTTGAGATTAATTCAGAATTGCTGCATTTCATTTCCGGAAATCTGCATAGCATTTTCTACAATTTCTTTATTTCATTTCCGACAATTTTTCATTTCATTTTCGATATTTATTTCTTTTCATTTCCAGAATTTTTGCTAGGTACATATCCGATAATTAAATGTTGATTAAGCCTACTAGGTGGAAATTAAAAAAAAAAAGTGGAAATTTAAAAAAAAAAAAGAATTGATTTCAAACCACATTTTCAAAATATGGGTAAAAAATATATGAAAAATTCTGTATACATTTGTATATGTATCTATATATATGTAGTACTAAACCTATTTAAAAGACTTCAATGAAGGATGAAATTTTGTCAATTTTGCACCGAACGTATGTTCAAGACATTTGATATACATGTGCTACAAAAAGAAATCCTTTAAAATTATTCATAAGTAGAATCTTCTATCCTGCTTTCATTATGCAGAGAAATGCCTGAAAAATGTCGGAGATGAAAACTTCAAAATGTCCTAAATGAAAAAAAGATAAAAATGTTGGGAAAAGTAGGGCGAAGAAGAACATGAAAGTTTGAAATTTCAAAGAATTCTTGAAATGAAATGCAGCCTTAAGAATACTTCCCAAGCTTCTTTGTTTTAGTAGGATTTTAAAACTATACTTGTTCCGGTTATAGAACACATGATGTACAAAGTCCAAACAAGCTTTCGCTTTCTTACTCAACCAGATTTATAAGGGAAATAGTTCTATAGATATTTTCAATTATTCTCTGTTCTTATCTTAAAGGTGCTTTGACACAGATTTGATGTTAATATATTCTCAAATTTTCTGTATAATTTCATAACGTATATGTTGCTGTAGCATTTCAAACGAAAATATAATTTAAAAAATCTTTTGTGAAAGTATTGAAGCTTCAAATTTTTAGACGCGTTTGATTGACACTTCCTGTATTCATAAAAGACTTGTGACAGGTAATACACATGTTCATAATATGAAAGAGCTATTTCTTCTCATTCAAAAGTTATGGTCAATTTAAAGAAGTGTTTTAATTTTGAAAAAAAAGTAGGTGAAATTCCAAGGTCAAGGTCACGGGGTAAAAAAAATCATTGTGTATTTAAAGAGATCTTGTCACAGGCAATACACAGGTTTAATATGAAAACCCTATCTCTTCCCTTTGAAAAGTCAGTACCTGGTTTATTTAATTTTTTTAAAAGATGGTCAAACTTCAAGATCAAGGTAACAACGTTAACAATAATAGTGTATTTTAAAAAAGTCTTGTCACAGTTAATACACATGTTTAATATGATAGGCTTATCTATTTTTATTGTTTTTCTTCTTATTCAAAAGTTATGGCCCATTCAAAGCAATGTTTACATATTTTGAAAGTAGGTCAAACTTCAAGGTCAATGTCAGGGGGTCAAAAATTAAAGTGTGTTTAGAAAAGTCTTGTCGCAAGCAATAAACATGAAATATGACAGCCCTAGGTTTTCTCATTCAAAAGATATGACCAAAGTTAATTTGTTTGTGAGGGAAGGACAGAACTTCAGACTGACAGACGAATGAGATTTAAATGCCCCCCCCCCTCGCTTTCGCGAAAGCGGGGAACAATTAATAGATTCAGCAAAAAGAAACGATTCAAATATCTTCCTCGGTGTTTTATTATGCTAACGTGCTTGCCCATCGATTATTTTCAAAGATAAGCTTGTACTGTTGTAAGGGTCAAGGACTGTTCCGGTTTTAAGTGCGGTGTCTATTATATCTCTCTATACTACTCGCCCTCAAATTTCGAGCATTCTGAGTGGGGTGTGCAGCTGTTCAAAAAATATAAAAAAGTAGAGAAAGTTAATTTCAATGCGATGAAAAGGAAATAATAGTAAAGATAAAAGTTTAGAAAAACAGTATTCACAGTAAAAAGATATGTAAAACACTATTATATAATGAAGGTGACAGGGCTGGGGTGATTCAGTCTGCTCACTTCCAGTTTGAAATGTTCAACTTCTAGAAGTGAGACAATACTGCCCAGAATCTGTTTCACTGAACTATTGTAAGAGGGAAAAGAGAGCATTTATAAATATTTTTTTGTAGTTTATATCTGTCGAAAGGTAAGGGAATGAGATAAGCGAGAAGTCTTACTGGGGGAAATGAAATGAACTGAGGGGATGGCTACCAGACCATATATAATCTTATATATAAGTACAAGTCTTGCATCCGCATCCTTTGTTGTAATCTTCGCCAAGCTAAGGTGTCACTGTGTAATATATATGAGACACTTTATGTTCTTCTAAAATGTACATCCGGATCCGTATTTAGTGCATCAATAACAAGTCTTACGTGTTCATATTGTTAACATCGTCAACGTTTTGCACAGACTCATGGATAGAAATTTAAAGTAGAAGGTAAATTGTGGTATTGTACGACACATTGTAAAATTTTACTGTTTTTTTCTTCAACGAAGATCGCGGATTTTCTGTCTGCCTTAAAACATACTCTGAAAATTTGTCAGCTAAATAATCTCGTTTGATTGCAAAAATACCGCAAAATTCTAGCCATTCGCGTAAATTCTGCAATACAGTAAGTGGAGAACCCTGCAGCAAAATCATCTTTTTTCGATTTATTCTTTCTGATTTTTTTTTAGGTTTGTCTGCATGCGTGGTTATATTGTAATTATATTTCAAATGCACTAACGTTGATGAGAACAGGTGACGCTATTTCAATGAAATATATAGTAAAATGCGCTGTTCACACCATCAATCGCATTTCAAAATCAATCCTTGTAAAATGAAAAGGAAGCAGTCTAATTTCATATTATGTGAAGTAAATTTGGAATCGATCTATTAAGAAAAAATATGTATTCTCGCTCAATTTCTTTCAAAAAACTTTAAATCTTTGCAATCTTCATACCAATGGCGACATTTTCAATAACGACGTTATATATCGCTAGACTAGTCCTATGTGTGTACGACCAGAATAAAATATGAATTAACTTCTGCTTCTGCCATGTAATGCCTACAATCAACTGGCTGATTATTATGGTATATGTGGTGCGCATGAGGTTACCAAAAATAAAAAAAAGATTAATAGCTGAAAAGGTTAAAATATTACAATTATAATTTATGGCATGTAGGTTGTCACTTGAGACCAAAAGGTCTCAAGTAAATTTGCCTAGACTATCCCTGGTGGAAGGCTGTTCTGCTCTTTCATGGTACGAGGGAAATATGAGAATTTTCGATAGTCACTTTTGCAGGGTGGTATTTGGTAAGCTTTACGATGGGTATGTCGTGATTGGCACAATGATGGAATGAGTCGATCACACTTGGTAACGGCAACATCGTCATGAACATTTTTATGAAAAAGGACGGATCTGGAGATTCGCCAACGCTCTTCAAGTGTTTATCATTGTAGTTGTTGAATCATGCTGTCCACACTTGATCTGTTACCGTGTCTGTTGCTTACGTATCGTGCAGCATCGTTAGACCATTTCCAGGTTATGAATGTCTTTTTGGGTGAAGGGGTCCCAGACACGTGCTTCATACTGCAACTGAGGTCATACTTGTAGTGATTTATATACACTTTCCTTTATAGATGTTGAGCTGATGTTTCAGGTTTCAGTTTCGGCGGAGAAATGAGGTCTTGTTACCTTTGCAGCAGATGCTACTGATGTGGTCACTCCATTTCAAGCCTGATGTTATGAGACAGCCAACTTGAGGTATTTTGCTCTCTCTACATGTTCAAGAATATGACCATGTAGTGTATATTGGTTATGTATTGGGTTGGGCTTCCTGCTGACTGATTATACATTACACTTATCAGGATGGAATTTCTTTTTCAACATCCTTTCACCTAAACCCAAATGCCCAGTTTATCTAGGTCTGCCTGGAGTACCCATTTCTGATGTAACAGTAAGATACACAATAGTGTCATCAGCAAAAAGTCTTACTGTAGCATTGAGACCTTCTGGCATGTCATTAATGTAGTCTAAGAATAGGACTAAGCATGGCCCAAGGACTGACGCTTGTGCACTCCAGAGTCAACACTTACATAACTGGACATTTCTCCATCAACAACTACGGCTTGTATTCTGTTGGTAAGGAAGCTAGCAATCCAGTTGTTCACGTTCCCCTGGATCCAATAATGTCAGAGCTTATGGATGAGGAGACTATATGGCTAACTTTGTCAAAAGCCTCAGTAAAATCAATGATCAATACATCTGTCTGCTTTCCGGCAGCCATGTAGGTGGTTATGTCATCTATAAACTCAATGAGTTGGGATTCACAGGATCTTTTGCTACAAAATCCATGCTGAAGTGGGTATATAATGTTGTTAATATCACCATGTTGCATGATATGGCTGGTAACAATGTGTTCCATAAGCATGCATTAGATACATGTAAAGGAGATGTGTCGATAGTTTTCAGCCTTTAATATATCTATCACCTTTTTGAAGATCGAAATGACATACGCTTTACGCCACTCCGATAGTACCTCCCCACTTTGTGAAGATTTTATAAAGATGGTGGTGAGGATAGGGGTCGCGCTGTCAGCCAACTCCTTCAGCACTCTTGGTTTAATCCCGTCTGGGCCTGCTGCTTTATATGAATTCAGATTTTTCATTAGTCTTAGAATTCCATTATGAGTGATGTGCAGTTCTTGTGCAACTGGGTATTTTCCACTCATATGACAGTCACGAATAAATTCTTCAGTACTGGTATGTGTCTTCTCTGAGAATACGGACTGGAACTGTTATAAGTCAAGAAACGCTTTCATCCGCTTTATTGGTCGTCCTCAACATTAGGTGTTTAACTCTCTTTAATTTGTACTTTCCCCTTAATTTCTTTGTTCTTTGTCTCCAGATTTCTTCTTTTTGTATTGTCTGTTTCTCTTATGGATGAGTTTCTTGAGTTCTGGTGTTATCCATGGTAAGCCATCTTTGGATTTGGCATCTTTGTGTGGTGTATTTTGCTTTATGCTGTTTTCCAGGTTGGTTTTAAAGCAGTCCCACATTTTATCTACATTATGATTATCAACGACTGAACTGGTGAGCTCCCATAGTTTTTATTAACAGCAATGAACACTCATCCTCCAGTAGAGACACGGTCTTTACGGTACAATTTATACTCGGTTTGAAAAATTTGGTTGTCTGTAATTGATGGATCTCCAAGTCTCCAAGGTACATTTTCGCACATAATACCCTTTAATATCGTTCCAAGTGACTGGAAAATCACAAGTTCCACATGGGTAGGAAGAATCAGCAGGTCCAGTGTTACTCTCAGCATCATTTGATCTTGCAATAAGGATGTGAATAAGGAATACTAACAAGAACTTTGTGTTCTCTTGGTCATTTAATATGCTCTTTTTACTCACTTGTCTGAGGATGGTAAAATTTAAAGTATGCACTTTCACTGTTAAGTCATGATTTTGATTAGACAGAGGAAATTCTAATTGTGTATGGAATGGAATAGATTCTCGATATCACAAATAAGATAGATAGAAGGAACATTATTTTTGGTACAGATACATACATACAGTTATCACGGTCAGTCAAAGATTGAATGGCTGAATTTGTCGGTGCAGGGTCATTTAGGTTCGGGGGTATTTTTTGACTTTCTTTGTATTGAATGTATATATCTTCTTAAAAGTTTTAGTTCTTTAAACTCGAAAATGTTTTGACGGTTTGTCGATTGTGATACAATTTCTTTCTGAGGCAAAATAAATTTAAATATTCCTCCGTAATAAATTGAATGCAATGGCAATTTTATATGGAAAGAATTCTGAATTACTGCGATTCACTTTGAAAAAAAAAATAATTTTAAGAGTGCATTTCCTAACATAAAGAAAACTCTTATTTTACTAATGTCAATCAATGATCCACCCTTTATTTTTTATTACATATATGTATGCATAAATTATTTTACAGATCAAACAAGCTTTTTTGTACGTTTAGTTTTTTTTACAGCATAATTCTGAAGATATTTTTGCTTGTTTATACTGTAGTTTGCTATTGTAAACGCGGTAAAAGTTTTACGCCAAATTCTTTGTGACGTCAGCAAACACGCGATCTACCTTAAATCTGGTAATAGAATATGACATTTTTGTATGTTTTAAGGTAGGCGCCTAGGACTAGATCTATTGAAAGATTTCGTTATCAGGTAAAAAAAAAAGGTCTACCATATATCTAATTACGCTAATATGAACTGATGATGTAACATCCAGAGATAATTAAAAGTGATTAGTACATGATCTGCAAATTAAGATTTTCATTAAGAAGTTCTCCACCCACAATAATCTGTTTTCATTGCATGGTTACACATATTTATAGATTAAGGTTAATACGTGGAACACACTTTGACATGATATTTTTGTCACCTGAAAAAGTTATAATGAGATTAGCAGTAAAACTGCTAGTCGGTCAAAGTACAAAATCTACATTTATTTACATTTATTTTCATTTAATATGCTTAAAATTTTCCACTTATTACAATAAATGTATAGGACACCATATCATTAAAGATGGGAAATATAAATAAACAGAAGTATAGGTCAACAACAAAAAATTGCACATTTTTTGTAAACTTATCATGAAAAATATGTAAAAACTGATTAAAATGCATATTCTGATGCTGAATGTTCCTAAACACTTCTTACTTATAAGATACTTTTGAATAATTGAATAAATAGAGAAAAATATGCATTTTTTAAATTCTTTTAGTTAACAATATTTATAAGTACACCTATTGAAAAGCATTTCTCCAAAAGATATTGTTCCATCAGGTATGAATTTAAACTAAAACAGTTTTTGCAAAAACCTATGACATCATAGGAGGGTGGAATAACCTTACCATATGCATTTTTACAATATATTTTGATTACCCCTAATAATTTTTTTTGTCTGATAAAAATGTATGAAAATTGTATAAATTACTTATTGAACTGTGAATTGCTTAGTCAATTTGCATCAATTAATTCCCACGTGATGTGTTTCCCTCCTCCTGCATACTGAAGTTATTTTATATTTATAAGCGGTATTATCAGATTCACTGCAAATGACCATGTTCAGATTGCTGTAAGTTTGAAGGTAATTAATGTCATGTAATACATAAATTAAAATTTAAAAGGTGACTACATTAAGTCTGACCAAGGCCATTTTTATGATTTTATGGCATAGCCTTTGTTTAAAGTTAAATCTACAATAGTTTTAATACATTTTTATCGGCTATATGTTTATCAAACATATTGATATACTGACAAAAAATTCTCAACCCCTCTTTCTGTTTGAATTTCATTGCCAATGCATCAAATTCTTTTGATATTTTATATTTAGAGTTTTAGGCAGAAAATGACTTATACCGGTAATAATTTTGATTTACTGGAGCGGACGAAATGCATGAAATCTGTAGAACACCATTACAAACAGATGAAAGTTACACCCTCAAATAATTTCTATGCAAAATCAATTTTAAAATTAAAATAAAACAAATTCCTTAAACACGCAAAATTCAAATCACGGCAAGGCCAATGATCTTATACATGTATAATAACATAACTCTTCTGACAGATTTTTCTGAATGGTACATAGACAAGATTATGTATAGTATGCAGAAGAAGAAATGATTATATTTTTTCACTGTAATTACTGTCAAAGCTAAGTGTGAAAATTACATAATATAGGTATTAAACAGGAAGGCAAGATATTACTAGAATTTGAATTAATGGGAGGGGAGACGGATTATTTCAGGATGAGACAGTGAGTGTGCCAAGGATGGGGGAAATATAAATCTTGCTTGTTATCCTTTTAATTGTTTCATCTTCATAGTCTTAATATTAAAAAAAACTGTATTTAAAATATAACCCAGTATGTCTTTTAACAGATGTGCTAAATCCACCTGAATGGCTCTCCAGAAAACTATATTGCTGAGCTCTGTTCTACTCTCGGTGTGTTGGGGTGCCCTACAGGACCACAGGAACGTTCCTCAGTACCATGAGCTGATGAGACAGGGTCATGTCAAGCTAACTCAGGGGGAGTCTGAACCCGATTTTATCCACAGATTCAATGGCACCATTATGCTTCAGGTATGACAAATTTATGAAGCAAAATCATTTGCTTAATTGGATTAAATGTTATATCTAAAACTCTGTTGCTCTCTATACAGATGCTTCCTCTTTTATGAAATTTCCAAAACTGAGAGGTTTTTAATTTTGAAGAAAATGCTATCACTGGACTCAATGTATGACCAGGCTGTGCTCCTTAACAAGGAATTTATGACTCATTTCGGGTCTCGGATCAAAATGTCGGGGGGTTGTGTTGTTGGACTTCAGCTGTTACTTGATGGTTTGAAGGAAAGAAGTCTTTGGTCTCTAAAAAGTAAAAACATGCATATCTTTTTTCCATATTTATAAACAGCATAAAAAGTATCCCAGTCTTTGAAAAAATTTCATTTACTTTAAGAATATTTCAATAGAAAACAACAACATTAACAAAAAATGGGTACTGCAAATTTTGCAGAAATATTTCTTAGACTATAGAGAAGATTTATTGCCCTTCATTGCATAATTATTTGGATTTAAAATTTCATATTCACTATCTGACTATGTGCTCAAGTAACAGATTTTGTATTTCAGTGCTTGATGCCATAGGAAAAGTTCCCAGTGGTATATTTGACGGTGATTTCATGTGGCACGGTCAGTATGATGAGTGTAACACAATCAGTCAGGCATTCACAGATAGAATCACTTTGAATGAGAATTCCCTGGTTCGAGGGAAATATTTTGTTGCAGGATTGTTGAATCCTTTGGTAAGATTTTACATGTTTTTTGAAATTGTAAAAAAAAAGACAGATGATTCAGTGTTCCAAGAGGGTGGTAACGTTAGTTTAATTTTTTTCATGTTACTCTTCAAAATTTAAGATTATTTGAAACATGTTAAATAGATTAGGAAAAGGTTAGGATTTGTATGGTATCTTCCAAATATATAATTCATTTATTAATATTTATGCATTAAAGCTTAAATCAATGCTTAGACATCTCACATCTCAGATTTAATTGGTAGTGCATTCGACTGCGGGAGTGATATCTAGCTAATTGTAGACAAAAATGCTATGGTAAGAGATTTGTAAAATAAAAAAAAATAAATGACCATACATTCTATCTGTTTTACAGGGGTATAACACCACTGATCTTAAGATTGGGGTCTGCCTGCCTGATGCATGTACTGCTACAGATGTTAAAGAAGTGTTGGAATTGGGTCTGAACTTAAAATTTAATTAAGACTGGTTAAACTAAATGTCTACCTGTTTTGACATCAAGGAGAAGTTTGTGACAGTTCTTATAGTGTATTATTACATGTGTCCATCTTTCTGATTTGTTCAAGCAGGCCTGGGGGCCATAAAACGTAGACGAGCTCACTTTTGATCTCAGTCTCGCTTTTCACTTTATATTCCTTTGGTTAAAGTGAGATTGAGATCAAAAGTAATCTCGTCTAAGTTTTATGACCCCAAGCCCTGGTCTAGGAAAAGAGACTGATGCAGATCTTTGGAAGGATGATTAAGCCACATTTTATGTCCTATATAATGAAATGGGTAGATGTTTTCAGTCTGTTTTTCAACTATTTATCGTACTTATTCTTGATTGTGCCAACAACTCCATACCAAATGACTAAGCTAAATTTTGAATGCGTCAATTTAATATGTACATGTACAGTATTTATGTGAACTATAGTTACAACAAGAGAAACAACCATTAAATTACTGCAGATTTCATTTGGCTGTTTCCCAACTTTAAAAAGGGATCTTTGTGTCAGGATTTTTAATGGGAACACATACATAGCCATCTTTTTTCCAAAGGTATACTAATAATTTCAAGATAAAGTTCAGATTGACTCTCTTCAACAATTTTTAAGGTTGGGTGAACCTTGCGATTTTTTTTGTTTCAGATGAAAAGAATAAAATTAAATTGATCTTTTTTTTCTTCTACAGCATTTTTAGAGATGTATAAAATATACAAACAAAACAATCAAGCTTTCTCTGAAATATGTGTATCATCAAGAAGTAAAATACAAGAGCTCTCCAGAGTTTATTGTTGCCAGGTAATCTATTATAAAACAAATATTACAGTATTACTTGTGCACTATATATTGGTAAATTCATAAAATTGGTAGATTAGGTTAGGAGCAATTATGAATGTTTAATGTTAGAACTACAGAATATATTTTCTTCTTTGAGAATATGTAGTCCACTGTACATCTTTAACATCATTTCTTAAAAACTGAAATGTAATTGTATTTTATGTGTTTGAAGAGAATAACATCCATAAATACAGTTGAATACACTAACATTCAGCTTCAATGTAATTGTGTTTTTTGGCTTATGAACATGACAAACGTGTGCAATGTATATTATATTTTTCAGTGTGATCTGTTCCATCATTGGTTTTCTGTTATTGCTGGGCACTCTTTACGACATGTTAATAAATCAAGGTGTCGACTTCTCGGAAATCGGAGAAGTGAGGATTGATAAACAGGACAGCGACGCACAGTCCCTTAATTCGGACACTACACATCTGATGTCGGATGGAACTCGAGTATCTGTCCTGTCATTCAGAAACAAGGTCTTACACAACAGTAAGTTTTCCTTACACAACAAGTAAGTTTCAATACAACTTAAGCCCTGTACTTTTCTAAAAAATGATTGATTGATAAATTGTATGTTATTTAACGTCCCTCTCGAGAATTTTTCACTCACATGGAGACGCCACCACTTGCCGGTGGAGAGCTGCAAATTTTTCCCTATACTCGGCACTCAGGGCCATTGAGCGGGGAGGGATCTTTTTCGTGCCAGCACTTACTGCGAAACGGGACCTCGGTTTATACGGTCTCATCCGAAGGACCGGTCTGCACGTCCCACAGTGGGATTCGAACCCGCGACGTAAGGATTGACTCCTTACTTCGCGACTCTATAGCAGACGCTCTAACCGCTGCGCCACGCGGGCGACTTATAAAAAATGAAAGTGATATAAGAAATTAAAATTTATTCTATCTGAATAATAGGATATCCATGCAGTTAGAATACACAAATCATTTTCAGCTCTACTGGTCTGAGACCAGAAGAACTTATGCGATAGTAATGCGTCCGGCGTCCTTCCGTCTGTC